TAGTAATACAAATAAGGGTCACTTCATGTTGAAATGGCAGTCTAACACACATATATGCTTTTCACACTGGCAATATTTTCCTTAACCCCGTACTATAGGTGGGGTTAAGGGGGGGTCTTAACCCCACCTATAGTACGGGGTTAAGCCTATTCCACTTTCTGTTCAGACTGGTTTTTACCAAAGTGGGCTAAAGTTGGCTAACCCCACCTATAGTACGGGGTTAACTAACCCTGCAAAATAGCAGGGCTAACTCCGCAATTGTGGTGCTAACTCCTGCTAACCCCGCAATTGCGGTGCTAAGCAAATGAATGAGAACAGAAACGAAAAATAGTCCGGTACTACGCAATGGAGCGTATCGCAGCTGGCCAGATGCGAAGTATGTCCAATCATAACATACACGATATCCGGGGTTAACGAAATGCAGTGAGAACAGCGGGAATTTTCTTATTCCGGAATAGGCGCTAGTACGGGACTAAAAACAGCGAGTGTGAAAAGCCAAAAAAATAGTCCGGGGTTAAGGATAGTACGGGGCTAAGCAAAGTACGGGGTTAAGCAAAACCAGTGTGAAAAGAGTACTAGATTTACCTCAGTTAATGCATCATTCCATCAAAGGCACTGGAAATTATCTTATACTGTTTTCACACTGGCAATATTTTGCTTAACCCCGTACTATAGGTGGGGTTAAGGGGGGGGGGGGGGTCTTAGCCCCACCTATAGTACGGGGTTAAGCCTATTCCACTTTCTGTTCAGACTGGTTTTTACCAAAGTGGGCTAAAGTTGGCTAACCCCACCTATAGTACGGGGTTAACTAACCCTGCAAAATAGCAGGGCTAACTCCGCAATTGTGGTGCTAACTCCTGCTAACCCCGCAATTGCGGTGCTAAGCAAATGAATGAGAACAGAAACGAAAAATAGTCCGGTACTACGCAATGGAGCGTATCACAGCTGGCCAGATGCGAAGTATGTCCAATCATAACATTAACGATATCCGGGGTTAACGAAATGCAGTGAGAACAGCGGGGACTTTCTTATTCCGGAATAGGCGCTAGTACGGGACTAAAAACAGCGGGTGTGAAAAGCCAAAAAATAGTCTGGGGTTAAGGATAGTACGGGGCTAAGCAAAGTACGGGGTTAAGCAAAACCAGTGTGAAAAGAGTATTAGATTCTTTTCCATTTGCATAGATTTAAGTTTTCCAACCAATATTCCTTTTTAATATTCTTGAAGAGTTGCTTCATATCTTGATGAGAAAGTTGTTTCAATGTAAAATTTTCATTTGAAACTCCTAATTGTGCAATGATTGATCCTCTGTTATAATATCTTATAATGCATGACTTACATGAGCATATTTTCCATACTTCATGTACCCTATTTATATGAGCAAGGTGTATCGTGTACCCCTGGTTTGTAGGTCAAGGTAAACTGAGCCAGACCCAACCGTTAGTATACAAATAATACACAGCAGTGAGGGCAGGCACGTACACAGGGGAGGGGGGGGGGGGGGTTCGGGGTTAAAACCCCCCCCCCCCTTTAGTATTTTTATGTGTGTAAACCCCCCATAACCCCCCTAAACCCCCTCCCCTTTGGCTGACCTAACAAAGCTGACCTTACCCCCCCCCCCCTCAACACGGAGCAAAATGTCAAATGTTAAAATTTCGAGACAAAAAAAAAATTAAAAAAATGTCCCCCCCAGCTTATTCAGCGGCTGGCTGAGTCGTTGTGAAATTTTCGGCCCGATAAATGTTAAAGCCCACCCCCCCCCCCCTTGAAAAAATCCTGCGTATGTGCCTGAGTGAGGGTATTAGTAAGAATTACCGCACAAAGTACCTTAGGAACAGTCTAACACGCCCGAGGCGGTAGCCGAGGGTGTTTGGACTGTTTTGAAGGTACCAAGTGTGGGTAATTCTACTAATGTCCTAACAAAATGCTGTGCATTATTTGTTTTATAAGATTATGTTTTATTTGTTATATAAAATGATGTTTATTAACATAATTTTAATAATGACCGGTCATTAGAATTGGATATTGACCGGTCATTATCCAAATTACGCGTTAGGCAAAATAAATGCCTGGTTATGTGTACGCTTTCAACCTATCATTAGGATCCACGTCATCATCTTATAACCCTTATTACCACAACTTGTTTTTCTCGCATGAGGTGTTCAATCTTTTTTATGGGCACATACATGCTGCTTCTGCATGTGATTGGTCATCTGGCATGTATACTTTTGTTTGGTGTTTTGTTATAAATTAATCTAATCCTTAATTTCCTCAGAATTAAATTAATAACCACGAAACATAAAGTCCCATTGTATTTTTACACCAAATGGACAAACCTTTTATTTCACTGTTAATTGACCTATTATTATAACTAACACTGTAAGAATGGTAACTGACATTTTATTTACTTCAAAACTGTTTTTACCATTATAGTTTTTCAGTACACTTAAAGGGATGGTTGAGTTCTGTTGCAGAGGGCATTACACAAAATAATTTTGTTGTAAGATAATGAAAAACTGAGTGTCAAATTTGAAAGAACATACAATTTAAATGACAAAATCATCTTTGTTTGAACAAAATCGGTTGAAACGGCTGAAATATCCATAAATATAACAATTTCTAATACTTGTGTACCACCACAAATATTAGATAATTTGAAAAGGCTATTGAAAAAAACAAAATAGCGCCTTTTACGTCTTATTTCAGCCAATGCCGATGTTGGATTTTTTGTTGGCATTTTCGTGTTGGTTATGTTATGTACAACCAGCTGGCCCATGTATTGTTATTTTTTATTAGATAATTAATCAATGGTCACTGTATTTTTTAAAAGTGGAGCTGAATTAGTATGATCGTATTGGCTAAATTTTACACATTTTGGGGTCTAAAATTACCTTCATAGCAATTTTAGGTTCTAAAAGGGCACTAGCAAAGAGCAATAACCATGCACTTTGAAGGCATTTGTGGTCTGAAAACAGAACTTAACTATCCCTTTAATCTTTTAAAATGAGGGTAGTATCAGCATTTTGCAGTCACACCTTATCCTCAACCAACACATACACACTCGTATATTGTCATCCTCTTGCTTTACAAATGTATTCTGACAGCATGGCATGTATAATGTCTAATCCAACTCTAGCTTGATGCAGTTTACCTGCATTACTACAAAGCCTTCATATGACACACTGTTTTACAAGTCGCTCATATTGAAAGATGCAAGAGACAAGTGCCTTTGTAGTTCAGATTTTGAAACAATTAATATGAGTCATTTTCTAAATCACTGAGCAATTGGCCACTTTCCTCCTTTGCAGAGCTACTGAATATGGGGCCTGATCTAATTATAACTGGACTTTGAAAAACCATAAACTTATCAACTGTTCATTGTATTGTGACTGAATTTGGTAACAAGTTGAAGAGAAACAATCCAGCAATTGCCTTGTTAAAAACAATATAAACAATATGTTAATCTGGTTGTAACAGTTTCTATCATTTATTTTCTCCAGAAATTTAGAGTTAGAGGTCTTTGATTCTTTTGTATTTCTGTGTTTCCAGAATGCATATTGAAAATGCACTTTGAGGAAATCATCCTAACTAATTGATAATTTCTTTAAACAAAGATCATTGATTGCTAGCATAATTACCGGTAATGAATATTCATGGAGGTATTAATCAATGCTAAATAGGTATCTGTAATGACTACCAGAAGTTTATAGAGGTGTTATTGTGAAGCAATTCGGACAGTATTTAGCAATGGACCTATTATTTAGCTACAGATTTGCATGAGCTTCAGTTCTAATTATCTTATGATTATAGACTCAGTATGAAGTATATAGGGAATGAAAGAAATGTAACCTAAGATTGAAATGGACAGGTATCAATTGAGCAACTGTGTTAAACTCTTGCATATATTATCAAGAGATATAAGGGCAATTCTAGTGGGATCTATTATAACGCTCATGAATGTCACACTTGACTCTTTTCGTGTCCTTTTTCACTGATTTTCCTCACCATAGTTTGATCTGTTTGTGTCATTTTTCTGCTTGTCTTGAAAACAAGTTATTTTGGGGCAAGACTGAATTTAGTGGTGAGCATTGACCCCATCTCTGGGAGTAATTTTAAAATGCATAAAAATACTGTGATTTTTTTTCTCAAAAGTCCTGTGTTTACCCTGTGTAAATCATGGGGGGGGGGGGGGGGGGGGGGGGGAGGGGAAGATATAACCATTTTCATATTAAAAGTTGAGTTTGCAAATATTGTGCATTTTTTTAAAACTTCTCTTTTGTGCACAGTGCACACTTTAGGATTGTGAAAATATTTTCTAAATATTACTGTCTTATATTTCATCTTGTAAATTTAATAAAAATAAAAATGTCACTGACCTTTTCTGCTAATTTTGGTTGAATTGTGTCTTATTAGTAAATGTGTCATCCCAGGATTCTTCTATGTGTGTTCTGTTTGGGTTACATAAGAGGTGTTTGTTCTGTCTCTAATGACGCACTCTTCTGTAGACAGGTATGTTTACCTATAGCCTTAATGAAGCTTGATCTTTGTCTGTTTACTTTGGTCTATATGTCTCATGACCCCAGCATGTTTTAGTTATTACTGATATGGAATTTCCATCTTCCTAGTTCCACACCCCCCTCCCCACCAAAAAAAGTCTTTTGTCCAATTTCTATACCGACTTAGAGACTCTTCTCAGTGTTGTTTAAACAGACATAGAAATCTACTTGTTCTGCCACAGTTCTGGACTTTATAGAACTGGCCAAATGTATATTTATATTTTCTCAATCAAATGTGATATGCGCCAAAGCTTCAAATTAATAATCTTCACATAACAGTAATGAATTTCATATGGCTTCTTAAATTCATATTTTTTGCATTGTTGTGCCAAAATATTATTTTTTGAAAACATCTCCAACATTCTCATTCATGTGATGTATGTGTATTTTGTCAAGATTACAGGCTACTAGAAAATATTCAACTTATTCATCTTGTTTTAACTCAGAAATTGGAAGAGGAACTGTCAGCCCACCAAGTGTTGGTGAAGTCTGTTGCTAGACGAGGAGCCAAGCGTAGGTCTCCATCAGACAACAATGAGGAGAGTAAAGGGATCCCCCTGGACCTAGAGACAGACCATGAACTGGCAGAACACAGGTCTAAGTGGGAAGAGATCTCCAGGCAGGTCGCAGAGAAGAATAGACAATTGAATGCATCGCTGGAATACATTAGACCACAGGTATGTAGAGTAATGATTATTATTATTTGATGCATAAATGGAAAACTAAGACAATAGTTATGTATAGTAATTATTGTTTTATTATCCCCTCGTCAACGAAGTAGGAGGGGATATAGTAACGCTGCTGTCTGTCCTTCCGTTGTCCGTCCGTAACAAATCAGGCTTCCGTTCAATTACTTTAGTAATGTTTGACGGATTTTAATGAAATTTGATATGAAGGCATCAAAATACAGCCTAAGTTCGATTTTGGAGTATGTAGGTCAAAGGTCAAAGGTCATAGCTCATTAAATATGCAAAAAATGTGGTTTTTATTCAGTAACGTTAGTAATGTTGTTGGGTATGTACGCAAAAGGTCATATGTCACAACTCATTAAATATGCAAAAATTGCTAAATATAAGCCATTTGTACCCCTACGCTTTGCGTTGATTTGTTGAATGCATAACTAAAATACACTAGTCCACACATAGAGTAGTAAGTACTATATGTATTACTGGAATTTAATATACCACATATTTGTGATGACTTCTAGTGTTGAATGTGTCACTGAAATACATCAGACCACAGGTGTAAACAAATATCTGGTATTTTTTTATGCATCACTGGAAAACATACATTATACATTGATCCCAAATAAAATCTTTATATTTTGAGTGTAATATATTTTTGAATACAGTTTTGTTTATGGGGAATTGGCATTTAAAGAATTGAGCAGTTTAGACTGTTGTTGGAAGCATGACAGTGTAGGTTGTTATTGAGATGAATTATACAGTTTAATAATGTGGTGAGTTATGCCTGATCGATAACAGTTGTTTGTTAAGGACATGGTGTGTGACGAAAGCCGTCTATTTCCTATAAGGTCCTCCTAGTTATGGTCCATTGCATGGTAATATTTTGATGACAAGGGTCATACAACTATTCATAATATGCTTGTTTTTAATATTCCATGCGTAATACTGTGACCAGGAAATAGCAACGTATCAACAGTGCTTAAAATGTTTGCTCACTTGAAGTTCCTAGTGATGTTTATGTGGACTTACTTTGTAATCTCTGTTCAAGACTTGGTATAGTTCTGTTAGGCCTACTGTCAGTGGTAAGAAAAATAAAATAACATGGCTGTGTGAATATTATTCTGCTTGTGGAAAGACTACATTTTCTATTAAAAAAATATCAACAACTACAATAGCTGTATGATCCTTGTCAATTTATCCACTGTTTTCATGATGATTTACAAATGTACCTGTAAACTGAACAATCTGCTCAAATATTAAATGATTTGCTTAATTCGAACTGATATATATGAGTATCATTTTCAATTAAAGGGCCACTCTAACCAAAACGGGCTAAAAAATGAAAAAAAGACATGTAGAATCATTTTCGACGGAGATTCGGAACATGACAATGATTTTTCTTAGAAATCATCAATACTTCTGGAATCTAGCTTTAAAAATGACGACTCCGAACGCTCAGCAAAAAGCCTAGTTTCGGGGCTGTATTGCGCAATAGAATATGATGTCACTGCAGGAGCCTCTCCGGTGAAAAGGAGGGTGATTTAGGCATTAAAATGTCTTTAAAAAGGCAAACTGTGATATTAAATTTAAAAAAGACATTTGTCCGAAAAATGATATGCACTTGATAATCCCAGTACGTTTCTGGCAATTTCATCATTCCTAATTATGAAATGATGAAATTATCAAATCGGACATGCCCGCAATGACGTTAAATGCGTCATCAAGCCACGATACCGTATTGACTTTTTCGAGGTGCGTAGCCCAGCAAGCGTGAGATCTGTGAAAAATGGATGGTTATTATAATTTTTCGTCAATTTAGAGATTTTCTGAAAAATCAGAGGCTGGAATATTAATAAGTAGAGGTGTATTCATGTTTTAAAAGGCTATGTTAGTTGGGTTAGAGTGGCCCTTTAATAGTATAAGTATGTTTAACATCATTTACAGGTAATCATTACGTTTTTTGCCTATACTGTTTATTCAAGTTGTTTCCTCACATTTTCTGATACAAATCGGAGGTTATAAGTAAGGTGGAAAACGAAATTGCCATGACTACAAAATTTGCATTTGACATCCAGAGGTTAGAATTTTCAATGTCCTATTTGTGTGGTTGCTAGGATACCCCGTTTGTCCACCACCTGCCGGCCAGGAGGAACCTTCAACTAGATGTTTTGAATCACGATGGAAAACAGGAGGAGGACCTGAAGACATCCCTTGATGCTCTTAATCAATGCTGGGCTAAGATGGAGACTCAGGTAGGTTTCTTTCCATTTTTGTCTTCATTATGAAAAACAAGTGATAAGGCATTCTTCTTTTTGAAAGTCTCCACTTTTTACAATCATCCACTTTTTCAAGATATGCCCACTTTAAAAAAAATTAAAAAAGAAGTATGATGATATAATTTTTTCATATAACATTTATAGGTTAATGTTACTATTAAGATGTGATTAATGTTATTTCATCTTTGGAAGAAAAAATACAGCAGCTCTTGAGCTATTTGTTTTGCTATTTAACAATTTATAGATGAAGTGCTGGGTTTGAATTTGCCTTCTGAAATGAACTTTACTTGTATCAATAGAACATGCAGGTAATCAATTAAATAACTCTTCACTCAAACTACAAATGGTGCACTGCACTCAAAGTGTGTATTAAGTTTGTCTGTGTTTATAAAGGGAAAAGATTAAAGTAACAAAGTGATATTAGAGTACACAAAACCTTGTTTTTTGCTTTGAAAATATCCCTGTCTATTGGGGTTTGAGGTAAATACTCCCACACAAACTGCATACCTGAAGCTTATTGCCTTCAGTTGTTTACTTGTTCTGTTGTTTGCTTCATAAATATTAAGAGGAAGGACATCAATGGGGAAGAGCTTTGGTTTAAGGCACACATAAAGCCCATGGACAATATTCCCAAGTTCATAGCAATGATTTAGGTCTACCACACTTTAACAACAAAAAAAAAAAAAAAAATATCAATTTTATCAAATGAATAAGCATATGTAGGGAATCTAGAAACAAGATTTAACGTTTCATTGTAGCAACTGATAGTCCTTATTTTTAATATACAATTATGACTTTAGGCATGCTTACATTTTTTCTTCATTGACACATGAGTTTCATTTCTCTGCATATTTTGGGGCTATGTGACTGGGTAAGAGGGATTTTTTACACTCGTGTTTAAATCTTTAATCTTTGGACAGAAAACAAGTTTTTTGATATCAAGATTTATCAATACTATTTTGATTTTAATGAATACAAGCTAAATGCCATCTTGAGATTCTTTTCGTATAAAGAGAGTTTACCAGAACATGCTGAATATAAGTTTTGTTCAATGCATGGCTTGTTTATGCATTCATTGTTCAATGCACATGTGTTTCGATAGTACCAAGTACAAAGGATAAACAGTTACATGCCATTTTTTCGGCAGCTGATCCATGGAAATAATGGGATCAGTCTTATCAAACAATCAGTGCAGGAAAACTGTACAATTTCATATGGCTAGTATTCCTTTTCTATTGTCTCCCTTCTCTTCCCACACATATGGATGAATCAAAACCCTTTCCATATGTGCTGAAGTGCTTCACAGAGAAGGTACACGTGTATGAATACACATAATAGTATTGATTCTGGAGGCGATGATGTGGAAGTAAAATCTCTGTATAATGTCTGCATTTTAATTTGATACTGATGGGGAAAGGGAATAATTGTTTGTGGTTTTCATACTTCTGAGCTGGGTCTGATACTTTATGTATGATTGCATATATATGGTATGTCTGTACTGTATATTAGATAGATTTACATACAGGAATATGAACCATATGCTGTACTTGATCAATTGTTTATTTGTAAACTATGATGGATCTTTTCCTGTTATACCATTCTTTTACAAAACAAAACAGATTTATTTGTGGAAAAACTTTGAAAAACAAGTGTTTGTCAGGCTATATATCAGTGTATTGTGAAGTTAATAATAGATTAGAAGCTAGAATGAGAGAGAGAAATAGTAAGTGCTATCATTAAATCAACCAAGACTTATACAGACGATATGATACAAATATTTAGCTCATTCAATACCATCGCCTCCCCATTCTAATTACATATGATTGGTCTCATGATAGTGTGTATTAATGTTCTCTTTTGGATCTATAATTATTTTAGGGTACATTATCTTTTACAGTTTTTTTAAGGAAACATTAAAGAGTGTATTTTCATGGATGAATTCATGATATGCATCATGAAAAAGTGACAGAATAGAGTGGAGATAGAGAGAGACCTAGTTTGGCGTTTTTACTCAGACACAGATGCACTTGTGAAGAAGCAATTACTTTGTACTAGTCTCATGTTTTATACCATAGAACAATTACATTGTGACTTATTTCTCTACAAACTGCAGCAGATTTATTAAACAACTGGTAGTGAAGGCGTGTTGAATTAGGGGGGGGGGGGGGGGGAGTGATATTGGCATTCTGACCGGCCAAAATACCTCATTCTTTTTTTAATGTGTACATCAGTCAGATCTTGAAAGTCAAATTGTATTTTGGCTTGGTTCTGAAGGAACTGGCCTCAAATTGTGTATATCAGCTTTCATTTTAATACAGTCAATCACTTTAATTATTCAAATATTTTTTGAAGAGAGAAACTGCAAGTCACTCTAATTTTAGTATGGTACATGATACATTTTAAAATATTTTTGTCTGATATTTTTTAAGAGAGTGTTAGAAGTGAGACTAATACCCCTTTCAAACTGGCCTGATTTTCATCGGATGCATCCGGACGCATCTGATGAAATGGTCATTATGAATGCTACAGAGGAGAAAAAGCTGATTAAATAGGCAATGAAAAGAAGAGAAATAAGCGATTAAATTCTCCTGGTCAAGAGCAGGAAAAATTCTCATTCTATCGGTGTGAAACCGATGAAACAACCACTCTGGAAAAAACTGTGATTAAAACACCGATTAAATTGGTCTGATGTAGCAGTGTACGCGCGCTTTATCGTAACCAGCTGTGTTTGTTGACTTTTTGTTGAACATGCTGCATGCCAGCTAGATGGGGCGCGGGCTTAATAATTACGTAATAATTCTTCACTTTAGGCAAGGGGTCGCCACAGCGAGTGAATTTCACCAGCAGTATGAAAGCAACAGCAGGGAAAACGGCGGTTTCACCTTTGTTTACATAAGGAAAATTCAATCAGTATTTTCATTGGTGTGACTCCAATAGAAGCCAGTTTGAAGCAGTATTAGAGTTGAATGCACTGTTGTTGAATGAGAGACATTGATGGTGAAGCCTGGAGAAAGTCAGCAGGCCATAGGAGCTCACAAATTGGTACCTGATGGTGTCCCTAACATCTTGATTATGTCTTTGAGATTAAGAGTGAAGGATTTGGTAGAAGTCTGTGTTTACTTGCAGATCTCGCATTCATTTATATTTCAACTGAAATTCAAATGTTTCATTGATGTCCAGAATTGACAGAATATTCACTCATAAGTTTCAATCGAACAATCATTTTTGTACATCATTGATTCATTTATAAGTCACAGGTTTTGTCATCATACAAGAATTGAAAAGCTGAGTTGATGATCAGTCTTAACAAATATCTTTTTTTAGCTATTGTTAAGACTTAGATTCCAAGTTGGAAATGATATACCCGTAATGTTAGGAAACATAGTCTTTGAAAAACATTAGAGAACCTGCAATAATGCTCTTATGTCTTAAAAGCCATGATTATTAATTCTCAGTAAGTAATCTCAGATTGATGAAATGTAGACCCCTATAGTTAGCATACTATACATATACATTATTTCTAGGAAGTGACTGGACTACATAAATACGCTACAGGTTTGCATTGGTACCAGGGTTTATTTACCTCACAGATTTATTGCATATTTCAAAAACTGTATGAGGATTCATAGGAAAAACAATATTTTCCCATCTTCTTGCATTTATATTAGTTCAATATATTGCAAAGTAATAACCTTGCAAAATCCTCTTATTTTAACAGAATATAAAATTGACAGAGCTCTATTAATAGATTAATTCAACACATTTGTGTGCAGTTTTATGCATTTTAAGGTAAGAAAATATCAGTGTACAACAAAAAAAGCAGTAGATTTGCTTAGATACTACATGTATATTAAAATTCTTGTTTGATCCTTTGTAAGAAATGATAATGCTGTCAGTAGTAGAAATGTTGTGAGATGAATACCAGGTATCATTTGTTAATCCTCTATAATGCATCCCTCCTATTGGCATTCAGTTTCCTTACTCTGTGCATTTCACCATTCACCATTTGAGGCCCCTCCCCATCCTCAACATCTTATTCTAGTGCTTTTCAGACTGTCGTATCAGCATACATTATGTATGGGCAACACTACTGCTGCTGCTGCTAAAATTAGATTCTGACTGCAATTTGAGGAGACACAAAAGAGAAGATGTTTACGTCTTGTTCTTCTACTAATTCCAATAAACATTTTAGAATAAGGTTCCACTCAGGTGTAAAGCTGGTAAAGTTAACCAGTTAAAAAATTAGAATAACATTCCGCTCTGATGTAAAGCTGAAAGTTAACTGGACAACAAATTGCAGTCTTGAAAACCTGTTCTTTTCCTAATTGCAATGTGTATGAGAATAAGGTTCTGCTCAGGTCTACAGCTGAAAAGTTAACTACTAAGAAATCATAGTTGTATTTGTCTTAAAACATTTTCTTAATTGATTCTAACAATAATATATTAGAATAAAGTCTTGCTCAGATGTAAAGCAGGAAAGTATCCAGAAGAATATACATTTTACAAATTTTTGAGTGAACTAATGATTATGCCCTAAGGTTACTTTCCTCAAAAATTTCAAGGGAGAACTACCAATGAATAATAGATTCTCCAGTTCTTTATTGATGATGAGTGTCAATCTGTAAGTATAAGAAGAAATTGGGAAATTACACCTACTTATTTTCGACTTTGTGTCCATTCTATGCCATGTTATGTACTTCATAAAATATAAATGGCAAATAGTAGATGAATATTGTTCAAATTGTTTTTATCTTTAATAATCATATCCAATAATGTACTGTATTCATTTTCATAGAAAAACTTTAAGGTAGCCAAGTGTGTACAATCTGTAATTTAGGGGTCAGAATGGCACTATTTTTTTTTATGTGTGTTCCATTAATTTCGGTTGCAAATGTAAATATTCATAAACGATCCCTTCAAGTTCCTGAAATTCAAGTTATTGTTCTAGTAATATGTGTACATCACTCCTGGGCCCGTTGCACAAAACTTACATTGATGGTAACTTTGCCACCAATGGTAGCTACAATGGAAACCTTAATTTTGATTGGCTGTTGAGCCCTGTTACCATGGTAGTTGCCTTTGATGGAAAAATTACCATCTATGGTAAGTTTTATGCAACGGGGTCCAGGAATGTCACTTAAAATTGTAATGAGAAGGATGGATAAATGTATATACATGTATGCAAGTGAATAAAAGCCAAGTAGCCGAGTAGGAAAGGAGGAAATGCAGAAATGCAGAGGGATTCTAAACAGTTATTCATGGCTTCTTCTTTACATGCTTGAATGAAGATGTCACTCTGTGTGAATGTCAGTGTGAAGGGAATGGAAAGAGAGAAGGAAAAAAATAAATAAAAACTGGTCTGGATTATTGCACTTCAAGTACAAGTCCACTCCACTGAAAAGTTGAGCTGATTAGATAGACAAAAATCTAAAAAGCCCAAATATAACTTGGTTTTGAAAAATGGTATTTCATTCACCTGATAAGAATAACAGTATTTGAACAGTCAGAATGCAATTATTATTCTATTATTGTCTATTGAAATATTATTCGGAGCAATTTTTTAATATAAAGCTGTTATCTCATGACTCACCTGCTTTTTACTGTATCAAATGATTTTCATGACAAATCTACCTTCCCCTGGAATTATTTTTATATCCATGTTGTATTAACAGCCTTTTCACACACAGCTAAAATTCATCGTATCTAGAGATGATTAGAATCACTCAACAGTTTTAAACATGTTTATAGACAAAATTTCCCAGTGTGAACATCGTTTATACGATGTTGGGATAGATACGAAGTCGCGATCCATACGCCCCTAAAAGCAGGCTGCAGATACGAAGTTCGTATCTAGAGAGCTTGACATTTTGTGTGTGAAAGGAAATTCGTGTTTAAACGTGTTTAAACTGGATGGAGCGTGCGCTTTGATTGATATGACATGACCTTCAATGCGCAATGGCAGTACTGCGCATTTTACGAGCAGTAGTTAATCATGAAACGATTAACGATCGCACCGAAATTTCTGTGTGTGAAAGGCTCGTGATTAGTTTAAACACGTTCGAAACACGTTTTATACTAGTCATGTTTATAGAATTTTAGCTGTGTGTGTAAAGGCTGTAAGTCATGCAAGACTGGGGCATTGAATACAAATATTTGTAATCAACTCTTCAAGGTTGACTGGAGCTTTTCAATGTTTCACTATTTGAGATATTTTGCTTGTGTTTACTTTTCTGCTCCGTAAAAATATCCGCATTCAGTGCTAGCTTGACATGTTGTGGTTGTGTATTGTCAATAAAATCATATAATAAATGTTTTATGCAGAGAGAGACATGAAGGCACAGGAAGAAAGAGGGGGACAGACAGAATGTGTGAAAGAAAGAGACAAGACAGAAAGTGTGTGTAGGTGAGAGAGAGAGAGAGAGAGAGAGAGAGAGAGATGGTGTGGGTTTGTGTGTACTTATGGGTATCTGTGTGACAGAGATATAGTGTGTGTGTGTATGTGTGCAGGAGAGAGAGGGAAACGGTGTGGGTATCTGTGTGACAAAGATATTGTGTGTGTGTGTGTGTGTGTGTGTGTGAGGGAGAGAGAAATGGGCAGACAAAGAGAGAGACATAGGGTGTGTTTATTGACCAAATTTTTGCCTAGAATCAGGGTTCTCAAACGTCTTTCAGGCAAATTTTGAAGGTGATAAATGCAAAGCCTTTTTTAAACGTCTTTAGATATGGGTATATCTAAAGACTCAAAAAGGTGTGTTTTGAATGTGACATACAGCCAGAATCACAATTCTGAGACATGATAAACGCAAAGCTGTTTTGAACCCCACATACAAATCGGACCTTCCCTGGCTAATTTGCGGTTCAGAGAAATAGTGCGCACCATGTGCTATGCCCTAGTTGACCTCCGAGCAACTCTCTGCTTCCCGGGTCAAACGACGCAAAGCAGCTGCGCAGAGACAAGGCCTTTATTTTGAATCGTGAGGAGACGATAAACGCGTCATCCCGAAAATCACATTCGTATAGTGGGGTTCGATATGTACATATCTAGTGGCAAGACCCGATAAACGCACCCATAGAGACGTAGATAGACAGAGACGAGAAAGGGTGGCTATACTCTTTAGTCTTATCACAAACAAGTGTCTTCTAAAGAAGTATGTGAAATCAATAGCCATTGTAATCCTACATATCTTAAAAGTACGGTAGATGTTTCGCAGTCTCAGTCTTTGAAAATATTAACACTATACTATATATATAGCTTTTTTATATTTTTGAGTTTATCAGCTGGGAAAGAAAAAATATTTTTAAATGCTTTAAAGTGACTATGTGTGTCTTTCTTACAGGTATCAGATCAGCAGTCAAGATTAGAGCAAGCGTATGAGTTCCAGACTTGTTACCAGGACGCTTTACAAGCTGTATCAGGATGGCTAGATGGTGTCCAACTCAAACTCTTCTCGGAAGACTGGAGTAAAGATACAGAGACTCAACTCAAGGAACATGCTGTAAGATACTTAAAAGAATTATAAGCATTAAACACATTATAACAAACACTTCTGGAAATTTGTAATTGTTGGCTTCCAAAGCCATGTGTATCTCTTATGTAAATTGGCAAATATCTTATCTGGAAATTAAAAAGTTGTTAAAATTAAATGTACACATACATTTTTCTATACATAATACCATGCAAAAGGCTCATATATATTAGGCTTTTATACATTAATATTTTCAAGAAGGAAAGATTTTTAACAAAAAATTAATTGTGGCCTAATATAGAATGAGCACAGTTATTAATATACAGTGAAGTTTTAGTTCTGTTCCCTATATTGGTTAAAACCAGCATGTTTATAGGGAGGTGGTGTTTCAAGTCTTTGTCACTTTACCATTGTCCTTTTTAGCATGACATAAATCTACAATAACCCAAATTTACTGAAGTGTAGTAAGTGGGTAAAAAGTTGGAAAATTCTTTGAAATGTATTGGGAACGGATACAGTTGTTGGACCATTAGTAAGTCAAATAATATCTAAGGATCTTTGAAAGTGCAAAGAAATGTCTCCATCATCATGATTTCTCCAGGCACTCCAAGAAGAACTGAAGGCATTCCAGGACCAATTAGTGCACATGAATGAGGCGTGTCACCTAGTACAAGCTGAAACTGGAGCTAGGAGTAAGCAATTGATGCAACAATCCCTAGACGATGTCAACCAGAGACTCACTACCCTAGAGACTGAGGCTAGGCAAAGAGAACAACAGCTTGTGGAGAAGAACAGACAATTCCAAGGCTTCCAGGTAAAACGATTCTCCTGCTTGCTTTCTGTATCTTTCTCTCTTACCTGCTTTCTCTGTTCCATTATTTTGCTCTTTTTCTCTTTCTAAATTGCTCTCTTCCTCTCCCTATCTTTTTACATTGCTCTCATTCTTGCTTGCTCTCTTTCTCTTTCTATCCTTTCAAAGAAGAATTTGTTGCTGGTTGCTTGGTATGTGGAAAGGGCGTATTATGGTATGCAATAACTAGAAAGTAATCACATATAAATTTGATAATGTTTGTATTACAGAGAGATTTGCAGAGCTTCCAGCTATGGCTGACTGGTGCTAAGGAACAGCTGAACATTCCACCAATCAATGTCAGTGGGGCATCGATAGAAGACAATATAAATATTAACAAGGTAGGATCACTACCAAATTACTCTAAAATGACTTGCATAGTTTTCAAAACCAAGATTTGTAAAGGCATTATAATAGCTACACTTGTTGAATCATAAGGGTTAGAGCTATATCAGCATTTATGATCTGAAGACAGTATATTATATTTTGAGTGAACTTGCATTGAGCTTGCATTTTATGAATTGATCATTGCATTTAAAATTTTCTATTTAAAGAAACTGATATGTAAAGTTACCATATCTGCTTTATGATGTACTCGTCAAGTTATAATAGTAGCTACACAAACACATTTCCAGTTTGAATTTATCCAACCCTTGTATGAGATAAGTCAACATCACCTCTTTATAAAAGAATGTCTATCATTTATAACCCTTAACAAACATAACAAGTAGGGTACATGTTAAATGCCTGTAGAGGTGTGACATTGACTATGTTCATGTAATTTTGGGCCTGATAAAACAACAATCCACAGTAAACCGAGACACTGCATTGTAATAAGAGCAGTACTTGTTGGAGCTTAAGTTCAGATCTGTTGTATCTTTAACATTTCTTGTGATTAATCTCTGTACTTAACTCTCATAGGAGGAAAGACTGAAGTTTCAGGTCAGGAAAATCAAATCAGTTTCTTTGCTTTCTATGCTTTCCTTCATTCTTGATAGAATCCCTTTGCATTAGAAAAGAAACATGTTAGGCTTTTGTGCATTATCTCCAAAACAGAACTTCTGTCTACATTGTATTGTGCAGTGTCTACATTTGAAGATTTTGTTGAAATTTCAGTAAAGAATTGTGTGCAAGGTGGTGGTCACCTGTCTTTTACTGTTTCCTTAACAATTGTTTGAATTTAAATTTTCTATTTTAATAAGTTTTGTTTTTAATCACTAATTCCTTTTTCCTTCTCCAAATGTTTTTTACCAAAAGATCAGAAGGTGGTGACAGAAACATCATGATTCTAAATCATAATCTCTTTATTATATCATTAAAAGGATGAATTTTAAATTAGCAGTACTGGTATGTGGGATATATAATGCTAGGGTCAGTCAATGGTCACCACTCAACTTGCTTATTAAGGTTAGGCTCGCATTGGAAGTGGCCATACAATTATTTCAGTGATTTCTTTGTACCTGATAGAAATAACTTGTTGTCTTGTCCAACAAAATAGAATTATGGACTGTCTGTGCCTATATTGGAGCTGCAGATATCAACACTGGGTTGAATTTTAGTCAGAAGAAGTAATCTTGTTTATGAAAGAATCTTCATCATACTATTAATGCTACTTTACGTTACTTATCCACCCATACAAAATTAGTTTTCTTTTTAGGTTTTCTGGCAAAATGAAGAACCGTTTTGAAATTGTTATGCATTAGTTCATGGAAGGTTCCAAATTCCCATGACTCCATTGAAATGTACATTCAGAGCTAGATGCTGATGTACATTTTAAATAATTATATGGAGCAGAAAATTAGCACAGTACAAAATGAAAACTTATTCTAAGCTCACTTATAATATGTGGTTGATATTCTACATACATGGGTGTATTGAACAAAATGAAGAAACTTTGTTTTGGGACTTGTCATGATGTAGACTATCGCAAGAGACACCTGACAAATTGATGTATGTCATCAATTCTAATCCTGGTATATAGCAGAAAGCTTGCTATTCCCTGCTTATCACCTATACCCAAAGATTTCATCCTGTCTTGCTTGATATATTGCCTCTTCTACACTCTTCTTTTGCTTCCTGCATGTCTTCACGTCTCCCTATGAAGAGTTTCCATGTATCTATGTTGATAGAAAGTCTACCTGCAGCCTCTCTTCCTTTCACTTGATCTGTTTCACACGCTCGTTCTCCCTCCCTCCCTCCCTCCCTCCCTCTTTCTTTCTTTCCCTCTCTCCTTCCCTTTTTTCTCTCCCCTACTCTCTCTCTCTCTCCCTCTCCCTCCCTCTTTCTCTCTCTCCCCAGAGCTGCCAACCATTACGATTTTATCGTATTTCGTACGATTTTTCTTTTTTTAAATAATTTTGTTAATTAATTTGTTTTTGTTTTTGTTTTTGTTTGTGTGTGTTTGTGTGCCATTTTCAATGGCAAATAGCCCATTCTCTCCTGTAAAGTATCCTACAAGCATCTCACATAGGCAATTTGGGGATGTTCATTGGCTCATCGAACACTTGTCATGATGAAATCATGCATATTCAACCATTGGTCCATTGAAAAATTTCTTCCTGTATGTAAGAACGTATGTAAATTAGAACCCCCCCCCCCCCAAAAAAAAAAAGCATTTTTGCAGTGAGAAAGTACTTATCGATCTAAAATAGGATTTTTATTTTCAAAATAGGATTTTGGAGGGAAAATAATAGGATTTTTGTTCAGTTGAGGTTAGCAGCTCTGTCTCCCTCTCTCCCTCTTTCTTTCTCTCTCACTCCCTCCCCCTCTCTCTCCCACTCTCTCCCTCTCTCTCTCTCTCTCTCTCTCCCTCTCTACCTCCTTCCCTCCCTCTCTAACCTCTCTCTATTTCGTTCTCTCTCTCTCTCATCGATTCTATGTTCAAGTACTAGTTACTGGTATTTTACATTTTCCTAAAATTGTCCTAGTTTTTGTTACAATTTCACCATTTTCCTACTACTTCATGCATGTGGGTTGTTCATTGTATTTTTATTGGGGGGGGGGGGCTTTATTTTCTGCTTTTCTATGTGTTGGGTGATGGCATTGGGAAGGGCTGTCTGGTTTGTTCTTGTTATTGTTGGTTTCTTTCTTTGTTTAGGTGCTCTACTCGTCCGCACAATATTCACACAAGATTTGTTTCTGGTTGTATAACTGTAGTGAGGTAGTTAATAAAAAGCAATTATAGAGCTCTTGCAATATAGGTTGAATTTCATATCTTTGCATATCTCAATGTAATATACATGACATTGTAGTGCATACATGTGCTATTCATATGTAATCATGAATACATGTCATTTTGTAAAACCTAAACAATTTTTTAGACTAGACAAATTTTGATGTTTTAAAAATTACATTTTTATTATTTATGAGTGGGATATGCTAAGATGGATAAATACACTTGAGGTAATTAAATTATCTGAATGAAAATTGTGATGGCTCAGCGGATATAACTGTCAATGATCCTGGAATTTGGAGGTGTAGGGTTCAAAAACCATTGAACTAGAAAATGGACATTTAGTAAGGCATTAATCCTCAATTTGCCAGTCTCTTGGATAGGATTTACAGATTTGAGGTCCTCTTTTTTTCTATCTGTTGTCTTGTACTCATTCTTAGCAGTCAGGTGTAATAAAAACTAAATTACATGAGAAATTATAGATCATTCTGACAATCCTTCCACGTATTCATTCTAAATTTGATTGCACAGACTATCAATAAATGCATGGACTCTAGGGCAATTTCAATACCCTATTGGATTGCCTGTAGAATTGTGTAGAGAGCTAGAAGGGCTTAAACTCATAACACTTGCTGAGAAAGACGGAAAAGTATCATGTTGTGATGACCTGAAAATCAATATTTAGCAACTTTGTGTGAGTAAAATCACCAAAAATTTCAGATAATCATGCGTGCATGCGTCTGCGCAGTGTTGGCCTGCCATTTTTGTTTAGATTCATATAGCGCCGCATAAGAAATTACTGATTTATTCCCCAAATTAAAGATAAACTTTGGTACTGGTAATGCGATTGCATTGTGAAAGAAAAGGTGTGGAAAGGATCAGAAACAGTTGATCATGTAGCATGTAAGTATTGGTGTGCACTGCAAGGTTCTGGAGTCATCAAAATCATAATAAATTTGACCGAATCTTGGTGAAGTAACAACCACTGTACACAGAAAGCTATATATGGGACAACACACATGGTGTCGGGCTACTACCTTGATTTCCTTGTCTTTCTATGCTCATTACTCAGCCAGTATACATTTTCTTCCAAAATTGTTTGGCACATGTCATTTATTTGTAATCTTGAACATTCAGTGTAAGTTTCGTTTGATTCTGTGAGAATTAATTTTCTTTTTTTTACCAGAACTGGAGTTTATCTTTAATGATTTTGATCCTTGTGATTTACCACAATAAATCAATGTATCTACCTATTTTTTGCTAGTTTATCTAATTTACGCTACTATTGAGAACTCTTTAAAAAAAGTCACACTCGCGCATGCCCCACCCCATACATCGCCTTCCTATGCAGGATTCATGTGCACATCGCACGCCTCCCATTCATCCTCTTTCTATTCTCGCCTACCGGTAGAGACATGGTATACAGCTGAGTCACATTAAAATCAAGGATTTTGTCCTTTTTTTGTTAGGCTTAGCTCTTTTTACGTATTGAATTCCGTCCTCATTTTAATTGCTTTGGTGATACGGGTTCCCAAGTCACATTATTATTTTTTGCGGAAAATTTGAGTATCATTTCTACGCCGCATATTTCCTTTTTCACGACCGTAAATTTCAGGCTTTAATTGATACGCCGCTGTTTATGGCATTGGGTCTTGGCATTACGGCCTTTGGTTTTGGCATTGCCTACGTGTGGGTTGGCGATTAATTTATTCATCGCCCTTTGTCCCAACTTAGCTCGTTTCGCTTAGTGGTTCACTGCTTCAGCGGTGCTGCCTATTGTTTTTTACGTGATTGTGTAGATTAATTTTTCATTCATGCTTTGGGTTTAGTTTGATATAAAAACATTTTATTTGATATTGTTTGGCTGGAAAAATTGGTGAGCGTGGAGTTTTTGGCGTTTCTCTTTGTTTACTCTTTGTATTCAGGTTCGTGATGAATGCGTCAGAGCCTGGTACTCGTGTTTCTCCTCCAACTGGTGCAGCTACGGGAAGGGTGTTTGACAAGCCGACCACTCGTTCATTCAGTGTGGCGGCTGGTAAGCAGAGAGCGCTACTAGCGTCTCTCGGACAGGCTCGTTTCTATTTACCAGCTCGACTTCTGTCAGGCTCGGTAAGACAGCCATTGTTGGGACTCGGGATCCCAGCAAGGGGACGATCGGTTTACCGATCATTAGCCCCCAACGCTCGATTGAGAAGGGCATCATTGGTCTGCCGGCCTCTGACGTTCATGCTCTGGGGAAGAGTGTCACTGTTGCGGCCACTGACACTCAGAACCCGATCACTGGCTTTACTACCGCTAGTGACACGTGCAACAACTTGAGTGATTCCGCAGTCCTCGAGACTAGCTTGCATCCTGAGGGGCCGGCTTCCTCCCGTCTGGTAGAAGTCGTAAGAGACTTTCTGACAGGCCCTCGAGGGTACTGTCGGTCAGTCTCTAGTGTTTACTCGAGTGAATCCGCAGCACCCCGTGCCACCTTGATCTCTCAATAGGAGTACACTCTTGCTAGCTCTCTCGCTCCCGTCACAGTCGGGTGCTTATGAGACATGCAATATTTATTATATCCACCACCTGTTTGGCAGTACCGCCCTATATATTCGTATCCAGCCCGACCCGGCAGTTATCTGATATCCGCCCTTGGTATACCGATTCGGTAAATAACTCAGAAATACACTCTTGCTAGCTCTCTTGCTCCCGTCAGCGGATAGTCATGAAGTATAGCCATGTCCCGGCCATGTCTCGGTCATGTCTCTTTCGAGTCGATGTCTGCCTTGGGCACACATTAGGCTACGGCTGGGAGGAGGGGTTCGGCCTTGTTGAGACGCCTACCCTTCTCCGTTGCCATCGATCAAGCTGAGCCTCTCGACTATTTGAAGCTTTTTGCTGAGATAATTTGGCGGGGTAGTAATCCCCAGCCCTCTCGGCCGACCTCTGGTCCGTCCCGACATGGTGGCTTAATCTGGTACCAGTTGCCTGGATAGTGTCCGATATTTTGGATGTCCTCTTCTGGTACTCAGACTTGTTTACATGTTCCTGATACCCAGCCTGCCTCAGACCTCGGCCTGCCTGCTCTCCAACCATTCAGACTGGACTTTGTGCGTGGTCGAAGTATATTGGTGGGCGACAGGGTTTACCCTAGTCCCATCTGTCTGGTCTGAAGCGCCATTTCGCTTATCCGGTGTAAGCCGGTACCCGTTTTGGTTTGGGGCCGTCTTACCGAGTTCGGCCTCGGAGAGGCTTTGTTCGTGGTTGGCATTTCTCCTCGGGCTTTTTTGCCCGTTGGTGGTGGTTAAGCTCCCTTCTCCAGCGTCTCTTGCTACCCCTCCAAGAGAGGAGTGGGTAGCTGGATCGGGACTCACCCTTCCCCTCTGGGGTTTGGGGTTTTCCCATATGATGGCTAGGTATGTCTGTGACTCTTCTCGCAGATGGCTTCACCATCTGTGATAGGTCTCAGCTAACTTGGAGGGTAATCAGTGTCCGTCGCTGATGTTTGGGGCAACGGGCTCCCCGGTGGTTTTCCCGTTTCCGGCTGGTTTGAGTTCAGTGTTGCTGGTTTCTGCAGACATCTGTTTCCTCTCCCGCTAAGACCCATGACTTCTGGACTCTCTGAGAGAGCCTCGCAGTTTATAGTCTGGAGTCGTAGGGATCCCACAAGGACCCTTTACAAATCTCGTTTGGAGCCCTGCTCCATTTGGTCTGTAGACCTGGTGGTCTCACCCGTAGACTTCGAGAGGTGTCATAGCTGGTTTTGAGTTACTTGTCTGACAAGGGTTAAGTCCTTCCACTTTTCGTGGTTACCGTTCGGCCCTCGCTGCCACTCAGGTCTGGTTTCCGGACAGCTTGGGGGTTAGCTACCTTTTCTTTTTCTGCAGTGGCCAGCTTTCCCGAAGCTGGCTCCTGCTTGGAGTCTTCCGAAGGTTTTAGACGTTTTGTCAAAGCCTCCTTTTGAGCCTTTGTCTGAGGCCTCGCTTATTTGCTTGACAGTGAAAACTTTTTTTCTTATGGCAATAGCTTCCGGACAGCGGAGGAGTACGCTCCATGCGCTGTCTACCTCCCCTGGCCACATCAGGTGGGAGAGGCAGGGAGTTCGGTTGGTCCCACGATCTTCCTTCATTGCCAGGAATAAGTCGGCGTCCTCTGGACCGGTGGAGTTCACCTCCGTCGAGGAGGACAAGGTCTGGTGCCCTATCAGGGCACTCAAGTGGTTCTTAGATGGAACTAAGGTTCATCGAAAGGATGACCAGTTGTTCCTCATTTCGCGGGAGCCCTTTTCTCCTTCGTCTCGAGAATCCATCTCCAGACGGATATTGGTCGTTATTCAGGCGGCGGGTCCTGAGGGCCTGCTGGCAGTGGTACTTCCTGGGCGTTTTTCCAGGTGGTGGGTTTGGATGACATTCTAAAGGCCGCGTTTTGGCGGTCTCCCAATTCCTTTCCAACTTCTTAACTTCGGGACGTCACCTCTGGGGAGATGTTGTTTGCAACTGCGTCCCTGCGGGCGGCTTCGGCTGCCATTGTCCCCCAGTAATCTCCTTCTTGTTCGGGACATGCCTCCCGGTCCCTTTGTGTGCTGGTCTAGGAAATAATAGGTAGATACATTGATTTATTGTGGTAAATCAGAAAAATCAGAACTGATTTTATTATTTACTATATAAATCTATGTATCTATCCATGTCCCTCCCTCCGCCCCCTTTCCTTGCGGGCAACATGTCAGAAGCTTTTTTCTTGGAGGCTCGTAAAAGAGGTTGAATTTCGCAGTGCGCACGTGAATCCCGGGAAGGCGATGTATGGGCGTGGGGCATGCGCAAGTGTGACGTTTTTAAAGAGTTCTCGATGGTAGCGTAGTATAGATAAACTAGCAAATAATAGGTAGATACATAGATTTATATATTAAATAATAAAATTAGTTCTGATTTTTCTGATTACTGATTTTCTGTTCTGGAGGTTAGCAGCTCTGAGTTAACAGCTTCTGGCTCCTAATAGGTGATACATGTGGCATATTAATGTTTACATACTTGAAAGATGATTGATGGACAAGGCTATGGAAATTACCTAAGGTTCATTTCTTGAAAGTTTTTTTCATTGTTCCTTTGTAAGTTTAATTACAATTTTTGTTTGCTTATGACAGGTCTTAGAAAGTGAGGCTAGTAGGCGTGAGATGAAATACAAGGACCTAGTCCAGAAAGGAGAAGATCTTCTAGCCTTAGATCCTCATCTCCCTGCTATAGCACATGATATCGCGACCTTGCAGATCAACTGGGAGGAGCTTCAGAGGTTGCTAGGCAACAGACGCAATCAACTCAACACTGCCAAGATATTACAGGTAAAAGAAGTAGACCATGAATATCATCTATGTGCTCCATGTGAAAGGAGTTGAACTAAACTGAGTCTAGGATGGTATGTAAGGCAAAACATATTTGAAGAGAGCACTGAAACATTTCATATTGTCTGACTGAGACAATCATAAAATGCATATACATGCATTAATTATAATAACAATAAGAAGGAGAAGAAGGAGAAGGATAATAATAATAATAATAATAATAATAATAATAACAATGTTTATAATACCAGTTTCTGATATAGTGCTTTAACATTAACTGACCAGAGTGCTTACAGTATTATCATTACAAAGTGAAATTACAATTTATGCATACTCTCTATTAAAATGAAGGTAACAATGGCTTGTGATTTGACTACGCGGTTCACTCTTTCACATTTGCAAGCACACAAACCCGAGTCAGATTAGATTTCTCTCTTTACTGTGTTTAATGTTATCTGATATTTTACCAACCACCCACCCATCTATTGTATAGTACCAGCCAGAAAGTCTTTTAGGTTGATATTTATTTTATTTAAAAAAAATATTTAAAAATTCTATTTTTGTTAACATTATTAGTCAGGATGACAAGAATCAGAGAGAAATACAAAATCTGTTATACAGTTTGGTCGTGAATAGATACAATAGTGATACACAAAATAGAATGAAAGTAGACCTCAGTCATGGTGACACTCAAAATATAAATTGGGATACTGACTAAACACTGTTTCGTATACAAACATTTCAAGGCTCCTACTCGCAGGCCAAGATTTACAGTCTTTGTTAACCAGCTCGCTGATCTCACATTCTTATTCAAATTTTCCAGAAACCTAGCGAGTCTTCTAATTCTATAATATATCCCAAGTTGGCCACCCAATATTTTAATGTGCATCTTTTTTCATCTTCATATATCAAATTGAAATCCAACTACCACATACATCTGTGAATCTTGATGTACACTACCTCTTTCTTTTTTTCTTCTTTTTTTTTCTCTCTCTTTCGTTCCTTTTACCAATATTTTTTCCTCCATATTTGTGATATTATGTATCCATTGAGGGTAGTCATGCTATCCAGCTTTGCTTACTTTGTCAACCCTCCTGTTTGATGTTTTTTTTATTCATTACAGCCAGCCTTACTTTATTCTACATATATTCTTTTGTCATGTGTACAATTTGCAATGTTTTGTTTGTTATATATTTGTAAAAGTGCAAAAGAAAATCAAACAGAAATAAATAAATCAAATCAAATCATAGACACCTATTGCTGTGACAAAAATCAACATTACACATAGGAAAAATTAAAAACTGGAGAAAAAAAATGACAATATACAAAATCATACTAGCTGTACACAAATACATTTTTCAAGGTAACTTGTCCCATTCAAGATCAGCTATATCTAAAATATAAACAGTTATGGATGAATATTCATGTCTTTTGTAACTACATTGATAACCAGGAACAATACCACAAGATCCTGAAAGATTACATGGAGTTCCTTGAGACAGCAGAGAAGAAGCTACAGAACAAAACCTTATCAGCCACAGATGTAGATGATCTCCATCATCAACTCCAGAAGCACAAGGTATTGTTCCAATATCATTCTTATCATATCATAAGTACTCTTCATACTTGCAATTTGAACAGCTGCTCTTATTCCTAGGTGGGGATGCTGCTAAACTTAATCATGTTACCTGTAATCAGAAAGATTAAATATGCATATAATACCTGCTCCGGCCTTCATAGTGGGACTATGAACTTATTGAACACCCCCTGGTTGTATCATACTGGACATCTGCATACATTTCCTAGCTTATGGACTGATTTTACTCAACGATAACTGTTGTGTTAGATGCTGCTTATAGGTATCGGCTTGCATGGTGATGTAGATAATACAATATAGGCTTGTGGTTGCACCATGTGAGAGAGGGGGAGGATTGGGGAGTCCTGAAAAGGATTCTCTGTAATCTTTCTTTCTTGAGTGTGTGTGGTCCTGAAAAAGACTGTTGGGTTATCTTTCTTAGCTTATAGTTCTCAGGAGAACTATAGCGCCGGTTGGAGAGGATGGTGGTAGAGCCACTCCTAGTTACCACCCATCCTCTCCAACGGGCGCTATAGTTCTCCTTAGAACTTTAAGCTATTAAAGAAAGTAAACCAACAGTCTTTTTGAAGACTACCAACAGTCCTTTTCAGGACTACACACACTCAAGAAAGAAAGATTACAGAGATTCCTTTTCAGGACAACCCAATCCTTCCCCCTCTCTCACATGGTGCAACCGCAAGCCTACTATATAGGCCTAACTGTTGTGTTGTTTTCATGAAATTTGACCACGTAGTCAATTGTGATATTCAGAGATCTTTCATTTGTTTAATAATAAATAATAATACACAATATTTATAAGGCGCTTAATACTGGTGTCTCTAAGCGCACATGGAATACATGGGCAGTGAGTTGATGTACAGGTAATATGGGACATAGTTAATAGAATGAACCATTTCCTTCGCTATGCATGAGATATGATATCTGTATGAGTAGAGATAGTTCATTAACGATTATTGGGATATCTGTTTGGAATATAGAATGCATTTTCAGCATAAACTCTAAAACATTGAAATAACTGTTAGCCTCCTTGATATTGAATATGATCCTTTAAAATCCCTTGATTTTTATGCCTCCGTTACGAAGTAGCCGGAGGCATTATGTTTTCTGGTTGTCCGTCCGTCCATCCGTACGTCCGTACGTCCATCCGTACGTCCCGTTCTCGTGATCGCGTTATCTGAAGAACCGATTGATGGATTCCTGCCAAACTTTGGTCATGTATGTATCTTGCAGAGCCAATGAACTGATTAGATTTTGGGGTCACGAGGTCAAAGGTCAAAGGTCACAGGGCTCATTATGTATGCAAAAACAGCTCGTGATCGCGTTATCCAAAGAACCGATTGATGGATTCCTGCCAAACTTTGGTCATGTATGTATCTTGCAGAGCCGATAAACTGAATAGATTTTGGGGTCACGAGGTCAAAGGTCAAAGGTCACAGGGCTCATTATGTATGCAAAAACTGCTCGTGATCGTGTTATCTCAAGAACCGATTGTAGGATTCCTGCCAAACTTAGGTCATGTATGTTACTTGCGAAGCCGATGAACTGATTAGATTTTGGGGTCATGAGGTCAAGGTCAAAGGTCATGCGGCTCATTATGTATGCAAAAATAGCTTGTGATCGCATTATCATTACAACAGATTGATGGATTCCTGCCAAACTTATCATGTATGCATCTTGCAGAGCCAATGAACTGAGTAGATTCTTTGGTCATGAGGTCAAAGGTCAAAGGTCATGGGCTCATTATGTATGCAAAAATAGCTTGTGAACACATTCTCATTAGAACTGACAGATGGATTACTATTTAACTCGGGACATCTTGCAGAGCCAATGAACTGAGTAGATGTTAGGGTCATGAGGTCAAAGATCAAAGGGTCATATATGTATATGAGAAATTGCTTGTAATCACAATATTCTGAGAACCTGTTAATGGATTACAATTGAACTTGAATTTGAAAAATTTCTTCTGTTTTGGTTTGTAAATTGCTCTATGACGGAGGCATCATTTCGACTGCGCGCAGTCGAAGTTCCATCTAGTTTAATTGGAGAATGATAGACATATGATATTGACGTACATGTAGATTCGGTTTACTCAGCATTATCAAGATGACCGAATGTTGTAGAAAAAGTACCTGGCCAAATACTGCTTGATTGATTGATTGATTGGTTGATACATTGATGTAGGAGTTCTTCAGTGACCTGGACACCCATCACATCCTCATAGAATCCATTGCCCAGAAAGCTGACCCATTCACTCAGCAACTCTTTCATGCCCAACGGTCAGAGCTTGATCGTCGTAGCCAAGCCATCATGGCTCAGGCTACAGAGCGAGGCCAGACCTTAGAGGCATTGGTCAGTGATTGGCGTGACCTACAGGCCAGTCTAAGGGAGCTGAGTAGCTGGCTGGGTCATGTCGAGGCTCAGGTACCTAGTGGAATCAATGATGCTACGCAGGATAACGTACAGAAAGCCATTCATAAATATCAGGTAATGTTCCATATTGCAAGAAAACATACACACAGTTTTATATCCCAGTCACACCGACCGTCAAACCAATTGAGAACCAAACTCATCACTACATGTGTTTTTTGTAATTTCTTGTTTGGTCTGTTGACAGTATGATGTTGGTGTTGTTGGTTTGACTGGGGATGAGAAAATTAAAAGCTATATCCTAAAATTATGAACGTTAAAAACAAATTTTGTGTCTGGTATTCAGAAGTGGATTGATAAGTGCATGGTGTTAAATGTCAAACAATACCCACATTAGATATCTACCATTGACATATTTGGTCATTGCTATTAAAGGCTTTGTTGCAATGTGATGACACAAAGTGTAATAGGCTTCACATTTCTTCACATGACCTTTGCACTTGCCATTCATTTACACGTAAAGAAAAGCGCATCAGGGTTTTTGTTGCAGCGGTTTACTACGGCATATCTGAACAAGCCTTTATTTCTGTCACAGGAGTCCCAAATTAGCTGATAAAATATGTGTACTGGTCTTCAGATATCATTCCATTTAGAAGCAAAAACAAAAATAGCAAAATTCTTATTTGACATCGACCAAACATATCACTGAAGCATAAAAATGTATGAAAAATTTCAAATGTGCTTACCGGTACTTGGAGAAAAGCTACATGCATTGCAAGGAAATCCATCGAGGATGTGAACTCAACCTGTGTAAAAAGTATTGTCCCGTAACTGCGCTCTTCCTTGATAGCACACTGCCAAGCAGTCTCTCTCGAACCCAGTCATTGTTCTCATAAATCCTTCAGTGGGTTTCTCACAAAAATCTATTGTGCAATGTGGATTACTAACATATTCTTCCTATCAGATTAAATAAATTACTTGAGAGAAGATAAAATTAATATGTAACATTTACACATATCACGCTTGTGATTAGCACACTGCCAAGACTCCAATTGTAATACTTTTTAATACTTTTTAATACTTTTTAATACTCAATACTCAATACTCATAACTTAATTACAATTTTTCCAATGTTACAGTTAATTGAATTCAAGTATCTGTATACATTTTATTTGTTTATATGTCAACATTTATTCATTTTTGCTAGCAATATTTTATATCTTGTATTTTTTTTTAAATCTTTTTTTTTTTATTTATTTTTTTTTATTACTACTTTAATGTTTTAACTTAAAAATGTATTCATTGTTATATATTTGTCCTCATTTGCTATGTTATCTTTATGTTTTTGAATGCTTTTTATATTGATGTAAACTTGCATTTTTAGTCTTCGGACTTGTTGACAAGTAATGAATAAAACCTTATTTGAACTTGAACTTGAACTTGAACACTGAATTTGAAGGCGACAGAAAGAAAAAAAACCGCCTAGGAACAAAGTATAACTTTTCACTGCAGCTCATCACTGACCACCGTACAAAATGCACTTTCACAGACATATGCATGGACAGAACCATCGCGATATAGTATAGCCCTCTACAGTTTAGGTCTAAGTTCTAACCTCAATTCTGCTACAATAGAGCAATGTACTGCTCTCTGGCAGATTTGTGCTTTTCTTCATTATTTTTCTCACAAAGTGATTGCGAACAAGCTTTGATCAAAGTTATTCTTCTTACCAGGCAATGGAGGGACTGCTTGAGGGGAGACAATCATCACTACGTCAGGTAGACTCCGGCGCCCAGGCTCTACTTCGAAACCTCACATCACCACAACTAGAGAAGCAACTGGCTTTACTCCGTGACCAGTGGTCATCAGTCAACCAGCGGGTCAGGCATGACCTATCCTCTTGGACCGCTCTTTTAAAGGAATGGAGAATGTTTGAGCAGGAGTCCATAGAGCTCATACCATGGCTGAGACATGTTACCGATCACATGGCTTCTTTGAAGGATAAGGATCACACTCAAAAACCCATCTCGGAGCAACTGGAAGAATTCTCTGTAAGTATAACACTCGATCTCTCATTCATTTGACATTGTATTAATGACATGACCACATTGAAGAATAAAATTCATGTTCACATGCCCATTTCAGAGCAACTGAAAGAATTCTCTGTAAATATAACACTCAATCTCTCATTCATTTAACATTGTATAGACTCAGCAGGTGTGAAACAAGGATGATCGATATATTTTTCTGCATAGCATGTCCATCCTGCTACAGAGATGCCAACTGTTACGGTTTCGCCGTATTTGTTACGGTTTTAATGCTCTTGTTACGGCGTTACGGTAAACAATCAAAAGGCTATGGGGAAACGATAAATAAAAGTACATTATAGCGAATGCCGCCTTATCACATAGCCTCCGTACACAGCGCTGCATGTCGCACGCAATTACTCATAAGTTCACTGAATTTGACTACACTGGATAGGCACTTTCGCGCACATGGTCCGTCCGCCGCCATCTTGTTTAATTCCGGCCACCGTCATTACTGTTTTGATACTAGTAGTATACTACGTGCGGTCGTGCATTTTGGGGGGAGCATGGTGGTGGATGATCGTGCGCGCGGCGCTCGCAATACCCATTCAAAGTATAGTAGCGAAGACTTCAGTGATTCAGCGGGCGCATTTGGGCGCATTGCAAGTGCGGTATACGGTGTGTTGTTGTTCATGAACGCCGGGCCTAGCGGCCTGGGCTGGTGTGTCTGTGGTACTGGTGAGTGTACCTGTGCGTGTGTAGGATACGAGTTCTGCCATTTGACTGTGGATTTGAATTTGCCGTTCGACGTTTGAACAAGGTGTTTTCTTCCTGAATACTATCATGGATTCACTCAAAAGAACAAGTATCCAAGGAGGAGATCCTTTGACTGCAAACAGATTAAAAAAAAACGTTTTTATGCACATCTTTATTTTGGACTTAAAAATGGTAGGTTCGAAATGCAGTAGATCCTAAGAGTGATTGGGTGTTTGTGTACATTTCCCGCGAAAATTATGCTGCGGTGTTTTGCGTTACAGAAAGACCCCCATTTGTTACGGACAAATGTGGTAAATGTTACTGACAGCCATCCTATAGGGTCGGCATCTCTGCTGCTAGTTCATGTAGTTCATGTACATGTATATGAAAAAATAAGTAGATTTGGATAAAGAGTAGTAAATATAAGAAATAGGTAAGGTAAAGTATGTAAAATGATAGAAAGTACATGTAAAGGTATGTATTTGGTGTTGTATGGGAGTTCAAGGAATTTCTTATATACATCTAAAGGATTTTGATATTTTGCTTATGGCAAAGATTACAGTGAATAGTGATGGTTCATGTTGATCGAATATGATTAATTGTTTAGCTGAAGCAAGTATAACATTGCAACATGAATATTACTTGTGTAGTATTATGTGAAATATAATCATGTACATTATTTCAAATTTCCAGAAACTGCAAAAAGACATAGAAATTCACACACCACAGAAGGTATCAACATGTACCCATGGCAACCATTTGTTGAAGTTGAAGCAGCTGAACACCTCTCCTATCAGGGAGAAGCTATCAAGCATCGAGTCTCATTGGACAGACATTCAAAATGAACTACCTCAGCTCCAAGAAGACTTACACCAATCTCAGGTTGGTTTCGGACTACCTCATCTCCTTCAAGACAATACATCAATCTCAAGTTTACTTATCTCATCAGACAAGCTCCCCTTAATTTTGTGTTTATGTTACAGCCCTGTCATTACCAAGGGCTTTATTTAGACATACATTGGAATTCTATTACTGTAAGTCTCTGTGTATAAGACGCACGCTTTTTTTTTTTTTTGCCGACCCTGTCGGCAGCAAGCCAGGTCCGTGTTAACAAAAAACATGCAGGAAGGACTTTTATTTAACTGCGAGGCGCAGTGGAGGGGCATAAATGTTTGTACCTGTGTATAAAAAAGTGTGTCTTATTCACGAAGATTTACGGTATATCATTTTCAAATTATCTTGAAAATTAAACTGTTTCTGGCTTTTCAACAACTAAATCTCACTAGGTGAATTCATTCTAATAAGTGATTGATTCTATTGATTGCAATGCCTTTAATACGATTAGGTACATCTTGATCTTGAAAGAAAGATATGTATAGAGATGATCAGTTGTGTTGATTGCTGAATCTAGATGGTTGAGGTGAAGAACTTGTGTAAAACCCAAAGGCTTTTGTGAATTCTAAATAACAACTTTATTCATAGCAGGAAACTTTGAAAAATTTCTAAATTTCAGTGTAATGTTACTTGAGATCCAAGTATTTGGGGGCAAGAAAATTTGGGAATATGTACCACTCACAAAATAAATAAAAGCTTGTGGTTTTACAGTACTTCTTTCAGACCTGATCTATATGTGTTGTTTCATTTTGTTGTTTTAGATGGAGCTGCTTCCCTCAAGACAAGCATTGAATGAATTAATGCTATGGATGGATAGCCTGGAGTCAGCTTTAGATTCATACAACCATAAAGTATATATAAGCAGTGGTGATGTGAAAGATACCCTACAAGTATATAAGGTATGTGACCCCTACATTGATTCTAACTTCCGCAAATCTTGTAGAACATACAGCAAATATAATTTTCACTTTGATTCATACCTTGTGTTTTAAAAACAATGCTCTTTGAGCATGTTTATGTAAAGGCGCTATATAAATATAAATATCTATGAATGTATTCAAATTTTCTGCTTTTTTAGTCCTACCAGTAACAGAGAAAAAAAAGCTGCTTTAACCAGTTTAGTGTATTATAATGCTCAAAATTTCACTATTTTGTTTCTATCATGTTCTACTTTAAGCAAAACCAAGTTAATGTCAGGGTTAATCTCTTGATTTGGTATCTTCCACAGGGTTATAAGGTAGACTTGTCATGTCATCTGCTAACGGTGGAGTTTGTCAACCAGTCCATTCTTCAAATGAGCCAAGACATTGAGAGTCGGAGAGGAGACAAGACAGACTTTGCTGAAAAACTTGGTACTATGAATCAGAGGTGGCAGGTATAGTGATCAATTCCTTATTCAAATATTTTTTTCCCTGTCTTTGCCTCATCCTCAACAATGCCACATATCACACTATTACACTTTTACAATTGATTGATTCCTCTTAGAGAAATAGATTGTTCTGGTTCTGTCTTCCGACTTGAATGCCTTGTCACTTTTCAAGTTAATTTTGAATGTTTGATTGATTGTTGTATAACTGTAATACTCTGTATTATGCAGGAGCAAGTCATATCATTCATGAAAAAAAGTTGAAGGGAGATACAACTCATAAACAAGATATAATTATAGTATAAGTCTTCTAACTGGCAATCCAGAGTAAAAAAATTAATACTGATATATAATAATAATAATAATAATAATAATAATAAATTTATATAGCGCAGCTTTTATACAAAAAATATTCAGCTGTGCTGAATATGAATGAATGAATGAATATATGAATGAACAGAAAAGTGTACAAAACACCTGTGTAGAGGATCATTCCATTTAATCTAAGACCATGCTAACAAATGTGTATTGATGTTACAGGCGTTAAATGGGAGAGTTGGAGAAGAGACAAAAGTTCTGGAACTCCTCCTTCAGCGCTGGAAGTCCTTCAGTAAACAGGTCTCTGATACCAATAATACTCTGAAGGAACAGGAGGATAAGGTCAAACTGTTTGATGGGCCCATTGGTCGAGAGGCTAGCGTCAAAGAGGCACTTCGTATCTGTCAGGTCAGTATACATACTTTAACCTGTTTACCTGTCTTAGTCGTCGTCAGCGCCCTAGTGATAGTAGTAGTAGTAGTAGTAGTAACAATAATAATGTTGATAATGACGATGATGAAGATGATGACAGTGATGATGATGATGATGTTTATGGTGATAATAATGATAATGGTAATGATGATGTTAATGGTGATGGTGATGATGATAGTGATGAGGATGACGATCATTGTGATGGTGATGATTAAAATGATGATAATGCTTCCAATGTATCATAGCAGAGTTTGAGTTGACCATTTTCCATGCATCCCTTGTTAATGTTTTCCTCTTTTTCTGGAAGTTAATATCATGCCTGATTGTAAATAGTTTTGTCATTTACTGAAATTACAGGCAATTGAGGAGCACATCAAGAGCAAATCCAGTGACCTTCATCAACTCAAGGCCACTGCCCATTCACTTACCTCAGACCAGGAGTCCATCAAGCAAACTCTCCAGCCATTGGTCAATCGCCAGTCTGCCCTTCAACGTCTGGTCAAGCACCTGAAGGCTGACCAGGTTACTGCCCTAGAGCAATGGTCACTCTACCAAGAAACACTGACCGTTGTCCAGCAAGCGCTTTGCAAGGCAGAATATGCCCTCAGCAGGGGGAATGTCATCATGGGCACAGTGGAATCACTGCAGGTCCAGACTACTAAACTAAGGGTAAAGTATTTTGTGTTACTGTCAGTGCATATCATATTTTCAATACATCACTGCTTCAGAACCAAATCAGTGTAGTGATAAATATGTGACCTGTCACAACAAAATGAGGCAGAAGTCGTTGGACTAGAACTCAAGAAAATTGGGAAAAACATGGATAAAGGCACATTTGTGAAAAATTTATTTGTAGATTTTTAGGATGTTCAATATTTCATGAATGTTCTGTAAAAAGAATAATTATTAATAATTAAAACAAAAATCATTTTTTGTGAGGGTTTGTTCTTCATCAGCTCCTCTTCTCCTGTGGACAGTTAAGCAAGAAAGCTATTTGCTTTCAAACGTGGTGACAGTATGACTATAAGAAGACGATTTCATATTTCAATTTCAATTTATTGTCCAATATTGGAAATTTGTTTTGCTCACATTTTACAAATGTACAAAGAATCAAAATAAGTTTACATACACAATATATCATATACCTTGATAGAGAAATTTTTCAGAATATTGCTATACAGAAATTTTCTTATGTTATTATAAAACAAAATAAGTGAATTATTTTAAACTGTTCGAGTGAACGGGATTGCCCGGAAAGGTTACATAATGAAATTACAGAAATAAAGAAGAACTTAAAATTCAGGTAGCATTTTGATTGTATTTGCGGATCGAGAAAGGAACAAAAGAATTTAGAAAACGTTGAGTGCGACAATTCATTGAACGAAGTTGTTTCCCAGAACGCGTAAAAACATAGTTTGGAAAGAGTGGATGGTTTTTGTTTTTCATAATTTGTCTTACCTCTAGAATTATTTTGGATTTGCATGCTTCATTTAGATTTTGAATTTAGGTCGTGATCTTCCCTGCTTGTTTGTTGATTCTCTGGAGCTTGCTGAAGTCTTTCTTTCTACATCTCCCGTACCAGACAACACAACTAAATAACATTACACTTTCTATAATGGATCCAATTACATTTGGGTTATCAGGTCAAGATCATACCGTAGTTGCCGGTTGACATTTGATTACAGGTTTTTTGTCATTGTGATATGTCATGAATAATATCATCCTTTTCCTATACTGATTTTAGGGCAGAGGCGTATAGGAGATGCAGTCCTATTTGTCTTGTTTACAAGAAAATTAATTATATATGATATAAGTTGAATGTTATTTATTATTTCAATAATTGTCTTGTAATTTGGGGATGCTAACTGTGCTGTGTGACTTAAAATATTACATTTGAAGTATTTTTCATAGATATTACTTACTGATATATAGAAGGAATGGCTGTAAAGAAATAGAACCTCAAACAATCAAGTGTTGTTTTATCTATTTTAGGATTGTATGTTAGATGTGTTTTAGTCAAATGTTAACATTGTATATTGAACAATTTCATCAAGTATATGCTAATGTTTAAATTCAGATTAGAGCAATATAATTTGCAATTTTATTTATACCATTGGTGGATATAACTGCATAGCTGTGCATGCATGTGTTCAGCATTGCAGCATGAAATTTATGATCAAATCTATTGTATTGCTAGATTTATATTATTTTGCTTTTTGTGTTTTATTGTGTAAACCTTGTTGCAACCCCCTCTCAATTCATGGACCATGACAGGAATTATTACCATTGAAGGTGACCTTCTCATTTGATTTGAATGCAGTCCTCTTTCTCAATATCTCATCTGCTGAGAGCCAGTAGGGCATTAACGATTATGATGTTTCTTCAAGTTATTAAGGCCCTTCTGTGATTCCTTCTTTTATTTTCAGAATATGCATTATTACTAACCTCCATTTCTATTATAGCGAAGACTTAATTTTTCCTTTCTCTGTCATTCTTATTTGAAGTGTGTAATTCTGTCACTAAGAGCCAAAATTGGATAGGACAGAAATTGTCTTGTATGATATATTTTCTTTTTGATGATAAAAATATGATAAAATGTGGTTAACACGTACAAAAGATTTGTGTGTAAATTTGATGTGATATTTTAATTATAATGAATTGTGTGACTTTTACATTCTACTCAGAGTTGCAGCTAAAAAATTGCTTTGGAATAGGCCCATTATGGAGTATCACAAAATTCACATTAAAGAGAAGTATAATGCAGTGTGTCATTGTGTACTAATGAAAAATATTGATTCTTACTCGGGAATTGACTTACTTATTTGGAAAATTAACATTGTGCATTATTTAGTTTGCTGTGATCCTCTAAAAACTTTATTAGTTTTGCTGTCCCTGCATTATGTGTCTGTTTCTATAAGATTTTGTTAATGTTTTTGTTGTTGCTTGCATCCTCTTGTTACTAGTAATATACATATAAATTATTCAATCTTGCTGTTTTTACAACAACAGAAAAAAATATATTGCAGCATTGTCACATCAGGAGTGCTTTTTTATTTAGCCAGATGAATTCTTTGAAGCTCAACATCGACTTATTTGAAGAGAATTTAAGATATGTTAATGAATATACAGTTCTTCAAATATTTGCCTAGGGATGGGGTGGGAAGGACGTGTTTTCCGTGGACTCCCAAAATTTCAGGCGTAACTCGGGTTTGAGCACACGATAAGCATTATAACTTACATCGGACTACAGATAACAACACTTGGAAGGCGATTTTGAGAAAATCTGGATTTTTTTTTCATCGATGGACCTAATATTATAGCTAATCATTCTAAAACTTTGCACTTTTTATAGGATTTAATTTTTTCAAATTTGTTTTTCTTCGCGTATTCTTGGATATTTGTTTTGAATATTTACGCGGAGAAGCACCCGTTACACATACGCATAGCAACAGTACAGCGCATTGCGCGCACTTTTCATCAGTGTGACGTCTGTGCATGGACTGTCTACTTATCTTACACCACTGCTGAGCTGAGTGTGACATCACAATAGAAGACTCTGCTGATTGTCTACTTATCTAAGCGTCCACGTCGCAGGGCTGGAAACTGGACATCATCCTGAGCTAATTCTGCCACCACCATCATCCATCCATCTCATCTACTCTTACCAGCAAGTAAATACTACCTAATGATGGCTCCCACTGATTGTCGCCGGAAGCATGCATCCTCTTCAGGACGGACGGTAACAGTGATGTCTATCAACACTGAGGGGTTTTCATCAGCGAAACAACAACTCATTGGAAAGCTCTGCAAAGAGAAGGACTGTGTAGCATTATGTCTACAAGAGACCCACAGAGGCCACCAATACATTCGACCGAGGATTCCTGGAATGAAGTTGGCTATAGAGAGGCCACATGAGAAATATGGAAGTGCTATCTTTGTTAGGAAAGATATGATCATCGACCAAACCTCACTGACTGAAGAGGATAACATAGAAGTCCTTGCTGTCAACATGGGGAAACTATCAGTCACTTCTGTTTATAAACCGCCGGGATCTACATTTGCCTTTACTGAACCTCAATCTTTCGACTATGACTTTGTAAATGTTATTATTGGAGATTTTAACAGCCGTAGCACCTCGTGGGGATACGAAGAAACAAATGAGGATGGTGACCTTGATGAGGCCTGGGCAGAGGCACACCATCTTGACCTAATCCATGATGCTAAGCTCCCCCATTCCTTCAATAGCTGTCGATGGAAGAAAGGTTATAATCCAGACCTATCCTTTACAAGTGAACAAATATCATGCCAAACCAAGAAACGAGTCCTAGAGCCAATACCACATTCACAACACAGACCAATAATCGTTGACATTACTGCTGCTGTGGTACCTCAGAGAGTTCCCCTACAACGCCATTTCAATTTTCGTAAAGCTGACTGGGAGAAATTCGCCATCGATCTGGATGAAGCTCTATCTGATGTTGACCCAGTCCCGGCAAACTACGACCAATTCGTCCGGACTGTACAGGAGATATCCAGGAAGCACATTCCACGTGGATGTAGGGAAAACTACATACCTGGATTATCAGCTGAAAGTGCCTTGATGTACAAGGAGTACATAAAACTCTACAAGGAAGACCCCTTTTCAGAGGAAACCTTGAGTGCAGGTGAGCTCTTCATGGCAACAATATCAGAGGAACGGAGGAAGTCTTGGCAAGATTTCATTGAGGGTGTTGATATGACGCACAACAGTAAGAGAGCTTGGTCTACCATTAAGAAAATCAGCAACGATCCCAAGAAGTCTACACCCCATTCTAATGTTACTGCAGATCAGGTTGCCCACCAACTTCTCCTGAATGGCAAATTGGCACACAAGAAATGCCACAAAATGAATCCTTGGCCACAGGTTGACACATAATCTACCTGGTACTTGGAACTCCAGAAGGCTATCGACTCCCTTAAGAATGGCAAGGCAGCTGGTCTTGATGACATACGTACAGAACAGATCAAACATTTTGGGCACAATACACGGGAGTGGCTGCTCTCTCTGTACAATAACTGCATAACCCTCTCCCAGCTTCCTAAAATCTGGCGGAAAGCCCGTGTGATTGCTATCCTCAAGCCAGGGAAAGACCCTAATGAAGCAAAGAGATACAGACCAATCTCTTTGTTGTGCCACCTCTTTAAGCTCTTTGAGCGCCTCATCCTGAACAGACTGGGGCCAGTCACAGAACAACACCTGATACCAGAGCAAGCAGGTTTCCGGCCTGGAAGATCGTGCACTGGCCAAGTGCGGTTTCGAGAAGAATGAACCGACTGGAGTTGTGTTCGTCGACCTGACAGCTGCCTATGACACTGTGAACCACCATATACTTCTAGACAAGCTCTATACCATGACAAAGGACTCCCATCTGACTAAGCTTATCCAAATGCTCCTGGAAAATAGACGCTTTTATGTTGAGCTCAACGGGAAGCGCAGCAGAGGGAGGAAACAAAAGAATGGTCTACCTCAGGGCAGCGTACTTGCTCCTGTCCTATTTAATGTTTACACCAACGACCAGCCAGTGTACCCAGGGACAAGAAGCTTCATCTATGCTGATGACCTTGGCATAGCAGCCCAGAATTCCCACATAGACAAGATAGAAGCCACTCTTTCATCAGCCCTAGACAACCTGACAGACTACAACAACAACCATCTGAAGGCTAACCCTGCCAAGACCCAGGTTAGCTTGTTCCATCTCCGCAACCACAATGCTGGGAGGAAGCTGTCCCTGAAATGGAACGATGTCTCATTGAAACACTGCGATCACCCTGTCTACCTTGGAATCACTCTTGACCGAACCCTTTCATAGAAACAGCATGTTCAAAAGGTGAAGGGTAAAGTTGGGACAAGGAACAACCTCCTACGGAAACTGGCAAACTCGTCTTGGGGTGCCAATTCCTCCACGCTGAGGTCAACTGCTCTTGCGTTGCATTACTCTGCAGCAGAATATGCCTGCCCTGTATGGGGAAGATCATCCCATACAAAGAAAGTTGATGCAGCACTCAACGACAGCTGCAGATGCATCACTGGCTGCCTCAAGCCCACGAATGTGGACAGCTTGCACTCCCTGGCCGAAATTGCTCCATCCGATGTCCGCAGAACAGTTGCAAGTAGGACTGAATGCAGCAGACAAGTTGAGGACACCCGCCATCCCCTTTACTCGCATCAACCAGCCCCTACCCGCCTGAAGTGAAGGAAAAGCTTTCTTCATACAGTCCAGCCACTGTCACAACCTCCTCATTCAACCAGAGTGATCTTGTGGGAAGAGAAACGTTGTGAAAACCACCACCATGAAAAGCTACCAATCCTGACCAAGGAACAGCTGCCTCCTGGCCTGTGATTGGAAGACGTGGAAGTCCCTCAATAGGCTTCGCACAGGGTTGGGGCGATGTAAATACAACATGCATAAATGGGGATATACCGACGACACAGACACCAACTGCGAGTGTGGAACATCCGTGCAATCCATGTCACACTTATTAAGATGTCCACTCCTAATTCACCAATGCTGCCTGGAAGACCTGGTGGCAGCAAATGAGAAGGCTCTTCAGTATGCCAAGGCCTGGCAGAGCATTTGAGGACACGAAAGAAGAATACAAAGTGTATATATCCTTTCCTTGAACATGATATTATTTATTTTTGGGCTTGATAAATCTTTATAGATATTTATCGCAACTATGAAATTTTCTTTTTTTCTTCTTTCTTCTTTTTTTTTTTGTCTTCATTTTTTTTCTTCTTTTAAAAAAATTCAGTTATGAGTTCTGAGTTTTTGATCGATCGGATGGGTGGTACATGCACAACATTACTTTTTATAGGCTTTGTATAAGCTTGGCTTGTTAGATCTCTTGTGAGTAATGTGCCGCGGGATTCCATATCCTCAAACTGCTGGCGAATAGAGCAACAAGACCAAGCTCTGTAATTATTAGGATCTATCTCCAGTAGTACCGTGTTTGTGCCATCGAACTGGATCGACCAAATCAATTGATTCATAATATATATATATATATATATATATGATATTTTTTCCCATAACATGAGAGTAATTTTAATAGTTTCATACTATTAATTAAATGTAATGTTAACTGTTATTGTATAATTGTTTTAAATGGGGGCACGCTACAAGAGTCCTATCTCGCGCCCCGGGGCAACGTGTCTGACACGGCCAGTTGTAGCAACTACTCCGAAGATCAAGATACATTAATCTTGATCTAAGGAGACACAAACGAAAGAGGTCTTCAAATCAACATTACAGTGATTGAACAGTATGGCAGTTCCGCTCAGACCCTTGACTAACATTTTCCTCTCTCTAGTTACATAACCAATATTTTTTTTAAACTGCAATTTGGTCATTTTATCATGGTGGCAGCTTAAACAGCATTCATCTCAAGACAATTTTCAGTTTTGGATGAAATGAAAGAAAAATTGATACTAGACACGTTTGTACATCTTGTACAACACAGCCATGTCTCATCTCATAATAATATGTAAATATAATATACATCATTGTACAGAATTGTTGAGTAATGTTTAGGTACATTTGAATGTTTAAATGTCTGTATTAGCACAATGTTTTAACAAAAGCTCTTTAATAAAATCTTCTTAATTTCTTTTAATTTTATAGGAAGTACAAGCTGAGTTGAAATCCAGCATCAGTCAGCTCAACACTCTATGTAAGCTAGGTGACCGGTTACAGAAGACATGCATTCCAGAAATCAGTGAGGACCTCGACAAAACAGTCCAGAACCTTTCATCCAGGTACCTTCCTCTGTGACAGTTTTGCCTTGTGCAGTTCATTATGATAATAATAATGATAGTGGGTTCTTGTATAGCACTCATGTCTGTCAGACTTGCACACTCCTGGTACTCCATAATTATTTGTAGCATGGTTACCATTATGGCGCTCTAGCATTTCAAGGAATTAAATTCCAGCCAGGTACCTATTTACTTTGGTCGAATGTGCCAAATGTACATCAATGCCTTGCCAAAGGATGTCAGGGCTATGATTTACAGTCTGATAACTTATCCACTAGACCACAACACCTCCAAGAATGCTTTATATGCAACTCAATTTTTGTTCTTAATTAACGCTTGCAATCATATGATATTGAATTACTCTTGGTGCAGATTACACCTACTCCATTCACAGTTGCCAAGCTGCAGTAGTAGGGATATTAATTATGATGTGGATTTAAAGAAATATATGTATTAGACATGATAGAGATATTTTATTTACACTATTTACCCAGAATTTATGTAATTGAATGTTGTTGTTTTTTTTTTTTTTTTTTTTTTTTTGGGGGGGGACTACTTCTAACAAGACTAATGGGATGTTATCGTAACTTCCTCACTTTTCATTGGTTGTTAATAGGTGGAGCAAAGCAGAAGATGAGCTCAGGTCCAACATCAATTTATTTGAGAAGGCTATGTTGCTATGGCAACAGTTTGAAGACAAACATAGTGAGAACGAGCAGTTCCTTGAAGACAAGGAGACATTGAGCAAGTTGTGTATACAAGGAGCCAGAGAAGATGAGAAGGTATTGGTTGGTATGGAGAAAGTAGAAGGAGCAACAGAGGAAGAGATGGAGCAAGAAAGGATTAATAGATGTAAAAAATGTCAGGTATGTTAGTCTCTTTAAAGCCTTTCCAAAGAGCCCAACAAATTTGAAAGAATACAAAATTTAGGTTTTCTGCGTACAACACAAAACCCATTTGTATTCTTTCATCAATATTTGTCTTCAAACACATTTTTTTGAAAATCCTTGCTGAATTGAGTTTTATAAGACGACATCCTCTTTCACTTCAATACACAATTTATGTGATATTTTGCCATAAAAATATTTAGCAAATTTTGTGCTCCCAACACTTTATAGATGGGCTTTAACTGATTTATCTCTTTTTACTAATTGGTTCTTAGTATCATATGTGGAGGCTTCTTGTGCAACTTGCTTCAGGATTGTATTAGGATAGTTAGATTAACGATGTTGTCATGGGACACATGTAATCATGATCCCTGGTTCCTTAGGTAGCAAAAGGCATCGTTATTATGAGTATTATGAACAGGCGATTCAAAATGGTAATTAATTGTGAATGCTTGTGCTAAGATAGGCTTTCTTTATTTCTTTTTACAGGAGATCCTTGTTGATGTTGATGCTTACCCTGTAGCAGCTGGCCTAGGATCTCTAGTCAGTCAACTCATCAGATATATGGACTCAAGTACATCTAGTAACATCACTTCAAGAACCAAAGTACTACAACAGGTCAGTTACTTTTATGTATGGTTCATGGGTCATGAAATCAGCAGTCATCCTAAGTCCCTTAAAACTATTAAAAGCCCATTATGTTTATTGTTAAGGCCTAAAATTTAAATTTTTGAAAAATATTTGATGTCACCTTGCCTTGTCGAAAGTGAGCTTTTATTTTCCAGTATTTTTGTATTGGAAGCAAGGCTAAAAATACACGGGGGCGATTTGCCCCGTGAGCTACATAATCGCCTTCGTCAGATTGCTCACGGGGGTAATTGCAAAATTAAAAATCGCCCCCGTGGAATTATAAAATAAAGATTATCTTTTCTGTTATAACTTTCACACAATATTGAGTTTCAACTTTCAAACCTTAAACCAATTATTTTTTGTTTTTTTCTACACTGATTTACTTTGTAATACATTGTTTAGCTGTTTAGGGGGTTAGGCTCAGCAAACACATGTGCTATTATCTGGCCCCTTTTACCAACCAATAGTTCTCTTTTTGTATATGTAAATTATTGTATGAATTGTATTACTGTTGGTAAATAAATCAAATCAAATCAATGAAATGGAACTATTGAAGTTAAAATTAGCGTGCAGGATTTCTCACTCAAATTCTAACCCTGTGAGAGCGAGCCCGTGCACAGCAATTGTTTCCCATGTGACGGAGCGATTTCGGTTACATCCCCAGTAATGGAAAATTTGGCGGTGCTTTCAACTTTCATAGCCCATTGCGCCTCATTCAGTCATTTTCGTGATTTTTAGTAAATTTAAAACTAAAAGTTTTGTTCATTAATACAAACAATAAGGTCTGTTATTTTTGAGGGAAATTGCTGTCTTATTTTGCTGAAGCTTCATGTCTTTCCTTTTCAATACACTCACAATACAAATTGCGCAAGCACCTCCGCATGCGCAGATCGGTCGATACCTCTATTCATTCCCCTATTGTCAATGATTGTCGTCTGCTAAGCTCGGCTGATTATCAACCGAGCCATAAATAATAGGCCTAATCCTTTGTTTTACATGGGCTTTATTCTGATGAACATTATGCCATGATCTACACTCAATGCCCTTTCTTTTAAATGTGCAAATCATCGTAATGATAATAAAAACATTTTCTTCATCTTGCACTCGCTTTTCTTCATTGCCAGAAAACTTGTTTTTATGTTGCCTTGCATATTTTTTTGTCAACAATGGCCCAGGAAAAGTCTCATATTCGTGGCTATACCACCAGAGTTACTCAAGACAAGAGTGATAATCCGTGGGGAGAGAGAGGAAGAGTTTTTGTCTTGCCTGCGTAGCAAAAAGCGAGACATAGGCGCCGCTTTTCCGGCGGCGGCGACGGCGGCGTCAACATCAAAATTTTTAAAGTATAAGGTCTTACTCAATGAAACTTTGAATTTCAGGTCACTAAGTTAAGGTCAAAGGTCATTTAAGGTCAACAAACTTAGACTTTGTTGTGGCATCAACATCAAGATTTTCAAAATGCTTCTTCTTCGTTATTTTTCAACCGATTTTAATTCTGATTGTTTCATATGATAGGGCTAGGAGGGGGATTTAAATTTCTACACAGAATCGTGAAATTCATTATATATGCTAATTTATGCAAATTTGTTCAAAATCGCAAAAAAGGCTTCTTATCGCAAAAAAGGCTTCTTCTCCTTCATTTCTCGACCGATTTTGATTTGGTTTGCTTTATATCGTAGAGCTAACTTTGGTACACTAAACTTCTACACAGAATTTCTGGTTTATCATATTGAATTGCGTTATGCAGGCGAGACCGCCAAGAGCATTTCCCTTGTTTAGAACATAACAATGGAATATTTCATATGCCCGCTCAAACCAAGACCGGCTTTAGGTTGATCAAGATATTTTACTCAAACCTGCTCTAAAATGGTTACATGACCTATATAAGTTAGAGTGGTTGTTTGTATTGTCATGTAGATTGACCTAGTTTAGGCCTACCTCCTCTTCTTTCAAACTCTTCTTTCAAAATGGTAATCTTCCAGAGTAGTTACTTCTCTACATTTGTTTGTTCCTCTTAGGGTGGGGTCTAGACCACGCAGCTGTGATAAGCTTTTCATAAAAGAGGAGGTCCATACATGAATGATTCGCTAAATTGGTCAAGTTAATAAAATGAAAAACGTGTTGTCAGAGTTCCGGTAATTAAAGGGGAGAAGAATAACCAAGTCCTTTTATCAATGCATACTTTTATACTTACACAGTTGAGAGTAAGGTCGGTTAATTGTATCCAAGTGAAACCCGGCGTATCGCACATTTTTTTTAAAAGGAATAGTTCTAGGTCTTTTTGAATAGGGCTACTATAGGCCTAATAATATTATTATATGAATAACTACAATGCATCTATGGAAATGTGAGGAAAATAACGCCCTCTCATATTGCCCAGCGAAAATCATCCAATCACCGATGGAAAATCCCCATGTAATTATCTTCATCAATAAAACCAATAATCCAAAGCCTGGAATCAAGGCAAGAATATGGAACGGATGTGCGCGTACGCGTCCATCTCCAGCTGTACGGTATTTCGAGGGTCTTTTTCGATCTGTACACTAACTTAGTGTAAAGTTGAAATGTTATCACCTTTTTCTCAATTTTTTTTCCACATAACTTTATTATTTTTTTAATAGATGAGATGAATGAATATATCTAAATAATACTTCAAAGAACTTTAGCACATAATAGCTAATAATCAGCTGGAAAACTTTGTCAAAATATTAGGGATACATCTCGGCTTCTGTAGAAGCCCGTCGTCACAGACTTAACAACTCGCTCAGCTTCTGTAGAAGCCCGTCTCCAAAGTGTTAAGGTGTCTCGAGGCCGCCATATTGTAAACAAATGTACGCTTATTCGCCAGAAGATGGTGCTATATCTCCCATCTCCATATCTCTGTGAGTATTACTGATAAAAACAATGGAAGCTCGCAGTGCAGTGGCTATACTGCGCCGGTAGTACCGATGTGCTAGCTGAAGCCCCATATCTGCTGGAGCTAGAGGCGCTCGCGCAGGGACCGAAACATGGAGAAGTTTTTCGTTGCAAAAAGCATAAATCCTCTGAAATCTGGTGATTCCAAAAGACCAGCAAATTATGAGTCTCGACCAGTAAATGAATATGGAGAAGAAGAGGAAGACCAAAGATGTTGTGGAAGAATATGGTAAAGACTAAATAAAGAATGTGAATAAGGTTGCTCTGAATGATGAGGAGGAAATGATGTGCAGAAAGGGAAGAAATGGAGAAAATGTCATCACAGGGTGAAAGTCAGTAAGACCCCAATGTTACGGTACTTATAAATTTGTAAGAGGGAAATTGCTGACTGAAATAAATGATAATGATGGAATAGCAACGAATTTAGGAGTATCATGGGTACAAATTCATTGGAAAATATGTATTAAAAAAAGAGCCCCCGTGAGAAGGCTCACATGGGATATTTTTTTTTTTGAAGTGCCCCCGTGGTCAAAAAATTGATTTGAGCCTTGATTGAAAGACCTATCACGTGCATTCCAACTAAATGACACAAAGTTGTCTGTAAAGTGGAAGAGGCTCACTCTGTATTTACTTGCAATGCCTTGAATCAGGCAGTACGGTAAATGCAGTTTCAGCTGCAGGTCACAATTTGCCTAAATTTACTCCTGAAATAGATAGGATAGAATATGATAGGATAAGATTTTAAAACAAAAGTAATTTCCTTACATTTTACTAGATTACCAACATAAACTGCAGTGCCATAAGGGATAAACATAGCATAATGTTGTTGAACAGGACCACGCCTCCAGGGGTAGTATTTACAGTGGCAGTGAATTACACATTTTTGATATCATGTTTATTATAGGTTGTAGACAGATGCTCTGTCAGCAATTTTTCTGGTAAATTTCCTACACTAACTGGATTACTGGCCATACTCTATGCTGAAACCTAAACCTAAGCTAAAACCATGAAATAAAGCCCAGAGCAATTGGGACTGGAGTAAATGTCACGGCATCTTATTATATTGCTTGTATGTGGTTTGTTTCCCCAGCGTCTAGACACCTTACAGCAGTCACTACAAAGACATATCAAGGCAGAGGAAATAGACATTCAAAATCAGAAACAGTTCCGAGAGAAGACCAAGTCATTGCTTGATTGGCTAGAAGAAGTAAAGGACACCCTTAACATAGAAGAACCTAATAGATCATCAGACGAACATACAATCAAGGACAGGATGGACAGACTCAAGGTAAATAATATGTCAATGATACTTTCTCAATAGAACAGAACTAATGTTTGATCAGTATCTTGACATTGGCAAACCCAGGGACACATATCCCAAGCAAAGTCCAGTCTGGGATATTTTCAGAACAGTAAGAGAAAGAGAAGAAAAAAGATTGGCCAGATTGTAGACTAAAACATACAAAAAAACACAGCTGGAAATATGAGAATCTTTGTTTTTCTTGCTTAGACTGTTTTCACACTTTTGCCCCTCCCCCTGCAAGAGAATCCTGAATCTTTACCTGTTGCAAGTGGTTATTCATATCTTCTTAAACTGTAAAAAGTTTGTGTTGGTTGTCATATGAATGAGGAATTCTTATCGGCTGCTAATTGAATGAGAGTTATTTGATGGAAATCCATTTTGATTAGTTATTTCATTTTCTTTTCAGTTGCTACTTGTTGACTTCACTGAGAACCAACCCCATGTAAATGCCCTGAATGAGATAGGTTATCGTATCAGCCTTGACAGGCACAACTCAGGTCATCTGGCAACACTCAATGACTGGTGGAACAAACTATATACCAGACTCTCAGAGAAATACCGCAATCTTCAAGGAGTGCTCCTTCAGCAGCAAAACTTTGCCCAGAAATGTAAATCTTGGATGAAGTTCCTTGCAGACACAGAGCAAAGTCTTGCTGTTGACATTGCTGGCAGCTATGATGAGTTGCTGGATCAACAGAAAGTCTATGAGGTGATTTTGATTTTTCATGGTTGAAATGTGTAGAGGTGTCATGGTTTCATGGACATGTCACAGGACTGTATGGATAAAAAAAAGTGATTAAATCCTAACCAGGTGTACTTGACGAGTCATAAATCTACACCCGGCTATCAATGGGGCATAATAGGGTGCAAGTAGAATGTTGGTAGATTTGACATATGTCTTCACTTTAACCATGGTAAGAATAAAATCCAAGGAGTGGAGATGATATTGTTGACATTTCAAGCCTCTCATAGGATGTGTGTACCTATGTGTGTCAATCATTAAAGGGCCCATCTCATATTTTGATATGTAATACAATAGCACCATACAAGTTGCTATCACAGACATGCTGTAGCATCACCAGGAAGACAAAGGCAATGTTGATGTATTGTACATATGTATGGAAGCATGCAATTCTATTATGAACGTGTGCTACAAACCATTGTCTATTCTAGAATATTAGTTTAGTCTGACATGTCTGACATAGCAACTTATATGTTGCTATTGTTTGTGGTATTGTAACAGGTGGTCAACTTTGGCAAAGTTACATGCCACTTTCTCAAGTTAGCTCATTGATGACTGACAGATGATGTCACAAGGGGAATGAGATCTGGAGGTTTCGGGGTGGAGCTTAGCAAGTTTGAAAAACAAATATTTAAAAAAATATTTAAAAAATCTATGAAACAAATTCAGAAGTTTACATATCAAAATATGAGATGTATGCAGGACTGCACACCAACAGGAGTGCACTTGTATTTCGATGTCATGGGCCCTTTAATTAAAAAAATTAAAAAATGCAGATTTTTATTGAAGATAGAACAGGCAGTGTTGTGATGTGATTCATACTGGTGACATATCTTACATTTTGGTTGATTAGTGTCCAAAAGGCACAGTGTTCTCTAAGTTACCCTTGACAGTATAATGGCATTAGTTTATGGTATATTTCATCTGTTTGAATGTAGTTGTTTGAGGCCGACATCTTCAACCGTCAGCAGATCCTGTTCTCCATCATCAGCGATGGTCAACGGATGATTCATGATGGGGAGGTAGATGACCCAGACGAGTTCCATACTAAACTAGCCCAGCTGAGTGACCAATGGCAAAGCGTGATCCGTAGGGCTAGTCAGAGGAAAGAGATCATTGACCGCAACATCAGGTAAGAGGGGCAACCTAAAAACAAGACGTTGAAAGACAACTTACCAGTAGCCTTATTCACACCTTAATGCATCACCTAACAAATTCTGTTCTTTATTTTAGAGGTTTTATGTGGCTATACTATGTTGAAAATGTGAGCTGTAAATATTACTTCTATAAAGATATACTGCATGTTTAAATACACTCTCCATTAGCATAAAAGAGACTTGTGAGTAGACTACAAGACACAATAAAGAATAACAAAATGCGTTCGTATAGAATGGGTCCTGCAGAGAACCCAAGCCTGACTTGGGTTCGGTGCTCGCAGTTTTATCTTATTATTTATTATGCCTCTGCTACAAAGTAGCCAGAGGCATTGGCCCAAATTCACACATGAGGTTTAGATTCAACCCATGGTTTAACGCGTCATAATACGTCATAACACCAAGCTTTAGACCATGGGTCATTATTTTGGTATTCACAAAGGAGGTTTAGTTCCATACTAAACTAGGTTCGTTCAAATTCCATGAAACTTGTACCCAACGGTTATCAAGTATCACAAATCATATGACACAAATTCCAGGTCACAAGGTCAAAGGTCATTTTAGGTCAGTAGCCTTGGATTATGTTTTCACAATTTAATATGAGAATAAATGAATCAATTTTTGTTATTTGTTCATGATTCTTAATTAATATTCACCCTTCCTATAAATAATGTTCCAACTTCAATTTTTCATCATATCAAATTGCGTAATGCAGGCGAGACCGCCGAGATCGTTTCCCTTGTTTCAACTTACCGATGTTAGAAAGAAAACTTTGAAAATTCAAATCGTGCTGCCTCTCAGCAAGTATACCGCGCTAGAGGTCAATACGCATCAGCATGTTTTACTCGCTAAATTACTAAAACCATCTCAAAGTCTCAAAAAAAATACACATCTAACAAATGCACAAAAATAATGGTTAAACGGAGAGAGAAATACTCAAGATATTTTGAGAGCTTTAATACATTTTGATTTATCATATTTGAAAAATGCCACCGGGGGAGAACCAGGGGAGATCCATGCCAGCAGAAAACTACTAACATGGAACTGTGACATTTTCCCCCCAACTGATGATCTGGCCCTGCATGTGAACAGTGTAGTCTCCTCCATATATACCTTACCAACAGATAAAGAGTTTTTAGGACAGTTAGTACAACTTATCCCCTCCTCACCAACATTTTTTGTGACTTATGCATAAACATGATGAGCTGATAAATAATCATTGCCTGAACAATTGATTTCTCACCATGCATCTTAATATATGCACATTCAGTGAAAGTTATAACAATTACCTTTCAATGTGTGAATAGATAAAAGACTTTTCAGCTGTTCCTCTATTTAAATACTCAAAGAATGATACTGGCAAGACTTAAGCAAACTCGGGGCGGTGAATTGTTTTCATGCAAGAAGTACACCTCCTCCGTTGTGATTGCGGTCTTTACGAATTTCACCATCACAGGAATCAGAGTTCATCCATCTATTTCATCGGAAGTAACTCTCACTTTTAGGTCATTCAGTTTATTACCAAGGGAACAGGCACTTAGTAGTAGACAATTGAGTGTATGACGTAACGAATTTGAATGTTCAGGTCCCGGATTATGCTCCACGTCACCAGACATGATCAATTTCAAAAGTGGAGTATTTGATGTTAATTGAAAGGTGGAAATATCAATGTTTCAAAGATATCTAGTTTTTAAATATCAACCTTTGGGTAGTTCATTTTTTGGGGCCTTTTAATGGGCCACCCTTCCTATAAATAATGTTCCAACTTCAATTTTCGATCATATCGAATTGCGTAATGCAGGCGAGACCGCCGAGAGCTTTTCCCTTGTTTGCTCTCTTAGGCATGCTTAAATCGTGGGTTAAACCGTGGGTTAGATTTAGACCATGGGATGTAAACCTCGCTTTGTGAATACCGAGCAAGGTTTAAACCGTGGGATAGATTTAGCCTGGGTTAAATGTAAATCTCCTTTGTGAATTTGGGCCATTATGTTTTCAGGTTGTGATTGCGTTATCACAAGAACCCATTGTTCAATTCCTATCAAACTTGGGTGATGTATGTACTTTGCAGAGCCAATGAACTGATTAGATTTTGGGGTCATGATGTCAAAGGTCACAGGGCTCATTATGTATGCAAAATCAGCTCGCTTCTGTTTTGGTTTGTTAAATTGCTCCATGGCAGAGGCATCATTTTCGACTGCGCGCGGTCGAAGGTCCATCTAGTTTTCTTCATGCTCACTCTCCGTTTACCTATAGAATGCCGGTTAAAGTTATCTTAGGTTGACTAATGCATTCTAGTTGTACACAAATTCTTTTTTTTTACGTGATATTGATACACTTTCAAGTGAACTGGTGACGTAATCTAAAGCAGTATTGATGATTTGTGGGAATGCTTTAGTTTGGAGGGATGGTGCGAATTCATGTAGATAGTTTACTCTTCTTCTTTAGCAGTAGAACTACTTTGTTGTCCAATTGCTTTGACTCTATAGAGCACCAGATACGCATTCACATGATTTGTAGATATATGAGAGACGTAATAACATAAGGGAAGAGGATAGAGAGGGGGTGCACCAATGCATGAGAAAGGATCGGAGAGGAAAAGTAAGGGGATGAACATGAAGAGGCAGCCATCTAAGACTTTAAGAACGAATAGAGAGAAGATAGAGCAAGAGAAGAAGGATATCACTTCTTTGATAAAGAGTTGGTTCATAGTTCACTCTTTCATATAATTGCTTTGGTTTAATTGATACATGTACCACTTACTGACTGACAGCAAAGCAAATTATGTATTGCCTTTTCTTTGTGTTTGTGTGATTGGTTTGAATCTAAATTGCATTTTAATATTGTTCTAGGGATTGGCAGTCCTACAGGACATCGTTAGCCAAGATGAATGAATGGTTCAGAGACATGGAAGCTGAAGTGACAGGTTATCGTATCACTACAGCCCCTCTCCAGGCACTCAGAGGACTCCATGAACAGACAAAGGTAAAAAAATGATAGTGAGGAGGAGGAGGAGGATTTTAAAAACACCTTTTGTACTGTGAAGGTTCATCTTGCACAATGCTTGATAACAGTTTTTTTCTTTTCATGATGTAGTTGTATGTCAGCAGAATACTTTCTCAGCTCTCGTACAGATTTAATTTCGAGAGCCCTTACATCACAGATTAAGAATTCATCTCTGTCTTTCTATGTCTCTCTCTCTCTCTCACCTCTTTTCATTCTCAGATGACTCAGAAGCTAGTGAGTGTCCAAGAAGGTAGCTACCTCTCTCTCAATGAAGCTGGTAAATCCCTTCTACGAAACTCTGACCGGATGGCTGGTGATGATCTCCGCAACCAGCTAATGGAGATTCAGAACCGATGGCACTGGTTGACCAGTCGACTCAGGAAACAGGACAACAAGCTAACAGAGATCCTAGGTAGATGGGAGGAGGGAGAAAGTATCATCGATGATCTTCAGGCTTGGCTTAGAGGTGCACATAGCATGTTGGATAAACCGCTACCAACGCAGTATGAAGAACTACAGAGGGAACTCCAGAGGTGCAAGGTGAGTCGATCATTCAATATTCATATATAGAAGATCACATGTGAACAATTTGAATACTATTTTGTTTGTATAAGAGGTGTATTGGTCAACTGAATACATAGATTGTGGATCAAAGCGTTAGTAGATCAAGTCCCGACCATGACAACAATGAACTTTGGCTTTACATTAATCTACATTTTTCACTCTCAACCCAGGTTTAGTAAATGGGTACCTAGAATGTCTAAATTCCTTGAACATGTTAGCACCTTTGGGCAGCTTGGCTAAAGCCAGGGTAATAAGAATAGTTAATATGCTCTCAGAGGTTATGTCTGCAGTATAAATGCAACTACAGTGTATTATCAAGAAAGTACTCATCAGTTAGATTGAGTACATCACGTTAACAGCAAGATTGATATTTTGTAAATTTTTGATTAAACTTAAAGATTTTTTTATTTATTTATTTATTTATTTCTAATCTTTTGACAGGGTAGCCCATTCACCAACAAGTAGTGGTCTTCCATGGGGCCCTGAATGAACATATTTACATCGTTTATAACATTTATACAGAACAGTTTCAAAAATAATACTTGTTTGCAAAATAAACATAATCATTAACCTAGTTAACGATAATGTCAATAGGAAAATATTAATTAAGTCGCAATTATGTGAATAAGTCATGTAAATATTACAGAACATGCATGTATGTACGGCTGAGCCATTCACAAATTACAACTTTGTTTAAACAATCTCTTAAATGAATTGACAGAGGAAGCCGTTCTCAATGAATTATCTAGCTTATTCCGTTCAAATATGGAAGAAACAATTGGGCTACACTTATAACAATCAGTGTGAAATCTAGGCACACGTAAACATCCACTGTCTATTTGCCTTGTATGATGCTCATGTACATCATTACCTGAAGGTAAGAAGGTGCTAAGTTATGAACGCATTTATATATCATCATAACGCGACTTAACTCAAACCGCTTGTCTAGTGTCATCCATTTAAGACTTGTGAACAAATCAGCCGATGGTGTGTCATATGTCTTGTTCAATATTATTCTTGCAGCCCTCTTTTGAATTTTTTGCAGCTTAGTTGTATGAGAATGAAATCGGTTCGACCATACAACAGAGCAGTAATCTAATCGTGGCAACACTAGTAACTTTAAGGATTTTTGAGGCAAAAAACTCTTTGCTCTCTTTATCATGCTAATGTTTTTCTGGGTAAGTTTACTTACGTTTTCGATTTGTTTAGACCATTTCAATTCTTCATCTATCAAAAGTCCTAAGCATTTGGTGAATTGAACTCTTTTGATGAAATTGCCGTTTAATAAAATGGTGAAAGATTCAATTTTCTTGAGATTAGCAGGAGAGCCTATTAACATGACACAAGTTTTTTCAGTGTTAAGAACAAGACGATTTTCCTTAATCCATGCCTCTGTTTAACGCAAAAGTTAATTTTTCTTCCACAACAGTTGCATCATTTGCACTGATGGTAAGTGTAGTATCGTCAGCATACATATCTATGATACCTTCAGGAGTACATTCAGGTAGACTATTAACATATATTGAAAATAAAAGGGGACCAAGAATTGAACCTTGTGGCACACCTAATTTGATGGTTGATGGATGCGACTTGGCTCCTTTGAATTGGGTCACTTGTTGTCGATCCCCTAAATATGATTTGAACCAATAAATAGTCCTATTACTACAACCTATACAAGCTAGTTTATGTAGAAGTAGCTCATGGTCAACAGTATCAAAAGCCTTACGAAGATCTATGAAGGCAACTCCAGAAATTTCTTTGTTATCAATATTTAACGACCATTGATTTACAAGTTTTGCAAGGGCAGTAGCTGTTGAATGTTTAGGTCTAAATCCAGACTGATTAGGGTGTAATAATTGATTCACGTCCAAGAATTCACTGAGTTGTTGGTGGACGGCCCTTTCTATAATTTTACTCACGATAGGTAATATTGAAATGGGGCGGTAATTATTCAAAGAAGAAATATCTCCAGATTTGAATATTGGTACTACCCGAGCCTTTTTCCATTCACGTGGAACAACTCCTGTAGACAGGGATTTGTTAATGATATCACAAAGAGACTCTGCGATAACATTCTTCGTCATCTTTAAAAGTTTACAGCTGATGTGATCTTCACCAGTTGCTTTATCTATACTCAGATTATCAATCTGTTTCAATACAAAATCCTCAGTAATCAAATTCAAATTAAATTGCGAATGAGTTGGACCAATATTATTGTCCTCGTCTACTCTCAGTTGAGACTTATTCCTTTGCAGGTCCTTTGTAATCGTAGTAGCATTAGAAATGAAAAAGTCATTAAAAGCTTCAGCAATATTTGCATTGTCTGACACATTAGCACCATCAACATTTATGCTATTGGGAGATATAGGTAATGACTTAGGGACCAGGTTTCTCAAACATCTCCACATTTGCTTACTATTGTTATGATTTTGTGAGATCTGGTCTGCATTATATTCTCTTTTTCTTTTCCTCATGAGATGAATAACTGTATTCTTTAGATATTTGTAGGTGTCCCGAAGATCATCACTTTTGTTAGCTTTAGCAGCTTTGAGAACTTTATCACGTTCCGTCATAAGCTTAACAATCTCGTCAGATATCCATGGACATGCCTTTTTTCTTATCCGCTTTTTACAAACTGGTATGTGCTTGTTGATTATATTATTGAATAGAGTCAACCACATATCCCACGCAACATCAACATTATCTATATTTTTTATGACCTGCCAAGGAGTACTTCTCAATTCACTGTAAAATTTCCCCTCGTCAAGATTTTTAAACGAGCGAAATTCTGCATATTCAGATTTGTTATGGATCTTTGCACTAAAATCGCGAACCGTATACACCAAATAATGATCACTTATGCTAGTTTCAAATATTCCCCATTCATTGTAAAGTTCCTTGTCTGATACAAATATCAAATCAATTAAAGTAGAAGAGGTATTTGTAACTCTTGTGGCAGTATCAATTAGCTGACTTAGCCCGTACATATTTGTATAAAACATTAACTTTTCAGCATTCAGATCAAGTTGGTGTGGCATACAATTACAATTGAAATCACCTAAAATAATACAGCTCATATCTTCCGAGAGAGCAGAGTCCAAATTTCCGTCTAATTCTTCAAAGAAATCAACGTGAGAATTTGGAGGTCTGTAAAATTCACCAACCAGGATGGGAGACTTATTTGGGTAATGCAATTCAAACCAAAGGCATTCTAAAGTAGATGAAATCAAATCATCCCTTCTTTTATAATTGAACCTCTTGGATATATATATACAGCCACACCACCACCATGTCTCGTACGGTCTCTATGTAATAAAATATAATCATCTATATACAATTCAGAATCATCAATCATGGAGTCACAAAATGTTTCATTTAAACCAATAACATCAAATGATGCATTTCTCAGAAGTAATCTAAGTTCGTCAATCTTAGCAACTAAGCTATGAATATTCAAACGAGCAAATTTTAAGCCCCTGTTTCTAAACAGAGGAACTGAACCACCTTCCAACTGTTTAATGTTACTCTTATTCAGTTCATGAGATTGATCCTGAAGATTATGATGTAGTATGCCAGTACCAGAGACAGAGTTTAACAGCATGTTGCCATGACAAGACGTAGATGCTTGTGCCACCCCTGTTGAGCTTTTGTCAGTGGAAACATTGGAAGAGCAGGTGCAGACTTTAGCCTCCCTCTCGGAGCAATCATCTTGAAATCCTGCGTTGAAGATCGAACAACTTCAGCGTAGGACGTTTGCTGAGTAGGTGTAGGTGGCCCTTGAGGTCGCTCAATAAAGTGGCGTAGATTAAAGGCAAGAACAGCTTGTCCTGCCTTTAATATTGATGTGGACCCCATCTCTGCCAAGGTGCCTGTCACCTATGTTATCGTTATCAACGAAACCCCATCTCCTTTCACGGGCAGCCCTTCTCAATCGCCCATTAACCCCATCGACACTGCGCCTCTGGTGAACTGATTCTCATCTGCGGTGTATAACACCAGACAAGCATACATCACAGCCTTTTGCTGCAATCATGTCTGCTAATGCTATGATATCATCGGCGGTGGATGTACTACCATTACCTTTCGACAAGTCATTTGACCCGACATGTAGAATGACGTCTCCTTTCGCCTTTACACCCTCAGTAGCCTTCTTAGAGGAGATATCAGCCACCGTTGCCCCTGGGTTCGGATGGCAGACTACTCGATGTTTTCGGCTCAGGAGTCGGCCCTCGATGTGCTTAATCATCGAGTCGCCTTCGATGACAACATCAAATAGCTCAGACAAGCGGCGTTGGCGATGCCCTTGTCGGAACTCATTGGTTTGGTCGCTCGTCGACATCGAAGTCGAAGACTTTGCGTCAGTGCCTTCGAAAACAGCAGCAGGTACCTTCAACAAGCGGCGCTGGCGATGCCCATCTCGGTACTCTTTCATCTGGTCGCTCGTCGACATCGGAGTAGGAGGCTCGACGTCTGTGCCTTCGAGGACAGATTCATGTAGCTCATGCCTTGGTCACAAATACCCTTACGGGCTGCTACGAACGCCGTACGAACGATTTTCAGACCATTTCGTAAGATCTTCTTAAGAAGGCCGTACGAAACAAGCGCTCGTAAACCGTTCGTAGACCGTTCGTAAGAACGCAGATTGGTCGATGGTCTTGTCCAAGATTTTTTTTAACATCGTACGAAACCCTCTCTTCGTAAGGCGGCCGTACGAACGCCGTAATTACATCGTAAGAACCACGCAAGATCTACGTACATTTCATAGGGTTGAGGGACAATTCTAGAAGCTTCAAATTATTACGATGACCGTAAGAACGCCTCAAGTTGTTCATAGAGGGCTCCTACGGCGTTCGTAAGAACGCCTTACGAGCGGAGATTCTTAATGTCTTCGTACGAATGACTCCACGCGTTCGTAAGGTGCTCGTAAGGTGTACGTACACAATTTATGCAAATTTTGAGTTTTAACGGTTATAAAGCTTCACTCTGTTCATAGTGTTCGTCGAGGTTGCATCTCCTGTCGAAGAAATATGGGACCAAATGGGAAATCTGTTAGAGGGAAGAGAGGGAAGGGAAACAAACGTAAGGAAAGAGATGAGGAGGAAGGAGAAAGAGGAGGAGAGCAGCAACAACAATATCAAGCAGAGGCGCCGGAAGTGGGGGGGAGGGGCAGGGGGGCATTCGCCCCCTCCAACCCCCCTATAAAAAAAGCAGTAAAGGAATAAAGATGATTTGTATTTTTTAACCAAAAAGAACAAAACCTGAATTGAATCACATATAAATTATATTCTATTCAAAGAAAAGAAAAGTTAATAGGGATTAAATTTCGTATGCACTCCGCTTGCTCCTACATCAATGGAGGTTTTTTATAATATATACGATTTGCGCATATCGTGGAAATATTGTAAGAGGATGGGAATTTTTTAAATTTTTTTTTATTATAGTGGTGAGAAGACATGAGCCCCTGAACACTGGCGTACTAATGGGCGGGGGGTACTTCTAATTCGATACCAGTGATTTACAAACGTTGCTGAAATGACATGATTTTCCGGTATTTTTTCTCAATTTTTTTGCAAATCATATCTTTTTATGCGTTTGTTTGAAAATTACTAATTCCCAAATTAACAGCTGGGCATACAAATATGCTTATTTGGAAGCCTTCATGTCAGGGCCTGCAGAACGGCAGGGCTCGGGGCTCGAGCACCCCTCACTTAAAAAAAAAAAAGAGGAAAGGAAAGAAAGAGAGAGAACAAAATGTGTGACCTACCAATATCACAAATGAGATATCAATATATGCTCATCTGACCGTAATTAGATGCCGAAAACCTTTGAGCTTCCAGGGGCTCTGCTGCCTGGAACCCCCGACAATTAGTGACCTGCCAGTAACACAAATAAGGTATCTAAATATGCTTATCTGACCCCAATTTGATGCCTAAAAACCATGAGCTTCCGGGGCTTAGTCCCTTGGCCCCCGCCGGTGCAAAGCCCCCGGACCACACGCCAATTTACGCTACGCTCGCTAAACTCTAACCTGATCGTTAATACTCCAATTTGAAAAATCTTCCGTGGGCCCTGCATGTAACATGTAGGCCTAGGAGTGGTGGTGATGCAAATTTTCCTTCTCCCCCCCCCCCCTCCTCCAAACGTTTTTGCTCATTACGCCACTGCCCCTGGAAGGTGAGCCCCCTGGAATTTTTGCCACCCCAATCCCAAACTGCTTTCGGAGCGCCTGATATCAAGAAATGATGGCCATATCGGAAGCGACCGGGAGTAGGCGGTGAAAGATGACGAGGAGGATGAGGGAAAACCATCAAGACGGCAGTTTGACGGCGATGAAGATGAGGTAACGGGGAAACTAAGAAAGGAGAAGCAGTCCTATGACTTTGATGCCACCACAGAGCAAAAACTTGTTGACTTCTTCGGTTAACATGACTGCTTTTATAATAAAGGAAGTAACAGATATGCTAACAGCAAGTTTAAGAAACATTTTATGGAGTTGCAGTTGCAGTTGTAGTCTTCTTGGCAATACTGTCATCGTGTAATATCAAACTTTCAACAGTCATAGAATTTTCGACAGTATACGGCAGCGTTTTTTTGGCAACCCGACCAAATAGGAAAAAAATCGTAAAATCTTCTTACGAATGACTTGTGAATGCCGTGAGTTAAACGTACGACCACCTTGCGAGAACAAAAACTCGTAACATTGGCGTAAGTCTGACGTAAGAAGAACACAAGGCGTTCTTACGAAAAACGTACGAACTCTGGGGCCATTGTATAACCGAAAATCACTTCGTTTCTCAAGAAGGTCTTGAGTTGTTCTTGCGAATTAAACGGCGTTCGTACGAACTCCGTAAGAAGGACGTACGAAACTATGCCCCATCTGCGAATCTCTACGAACTCTGAAATTCGTAGGAACAGGGAGATTCGTACGAACGAATCGTTCGTACGAACATTTGTGACCGTAGCATCAGACAAGCGGCACTGGCGATGCCCATCTCGGTACTCTTTCATCTGGTAACTAGTCGACATCGAAGTAGCAGGCTCAGCGTCAGTGACATGATTATCCGCAAGGACATCGAACCTATTCTTCGTCGGGACGGTATAAACATTTCCTGGTCGATTATCATACCTCGCGGGATCAACTCTTGAGATAGTTCCCACTATCTCACTGAGATCTATTTTCTCCTTTACCAGATCAGCACTATCGAACTTAGCTTCAAGATGGAAAAGCCTGTCGGCTAGTTCATGAACTGACGACAAAACTAGATTGAATAGGTCATAGAGATCAGCTTGCTCAGTATTCGTCTCCTGATTTCTTTTGCCATTACTCGCTTGATGGATATTGTCATTGATTGCACTTTGCAGCCTATTTACCAAAGTTTCTTTTACACCATTTTTATTTAGACCACGTTTCTGCAGTTCAGCTTTGAGTTCCTTAACACAGAGACTTATTACGTTAACGATGGTCATTGTGACGTCATTTAATATAATTGTTCACCTGTTTGCTGAAAAGTACTGCGTAATAAATACTGAGATAACTCACTAGTGCATATTTGCCTTGTATCTTTGCGCTCACTTGCGCTGTATCCAAGATGAATTCTGTGTAAAGTGTTTATATTGCGCTTAATGTTCAAAAATCAAGAAAATAAATATTTGAAAATTGACCAAAATAACAGTATAAAATGACCAAAATCTTTAAAAGTCCAAAAATTTGTGAAAAATGAATTACACAAATCTCACCACTGTCCTTTCGTCGTCAGTTTAGTATAAAAAGTTTCCTTGAGTCCATTATTTGGCTGCAGAAAAGTGCATTTTTCAGGAGCTCGCGAAAAACACGTCCATCTCTCTTGAAAGCAAATATATGATAAGATGAAGTTGAGTTCTGGTTATGCGATTGCATTGTGAAAATAACGGTGTGGAATCGACCAGAAAAGGTTGATCATCTAGCATATAAGAATTTGTGTGTATTGCAAGGTTCTGGAATCATCAAAATGATAAGAAAAAGTCTTGGTAAAGTTACAATCACTGTACACGGAAAGATGTATATGGGACTACACACTACACGAACATGTGGCGTAAAAATCCTACCCTGGTTTTTTACGATGTTACATGACATATTTAGAATATGAAGGCATTTGAAGAGCCATTCTCATCTGATGTTCTTCCACACTTGCATAATAAGAATGATAACGCTCACAAATTATTTTTCACCTCTTCCCAGAACTCAACCTTCTCTTTAATTTGTATTTCTTTACTTCTACTCCTTTACTGTACAGGAGACTGAGAATGGTTTCGGCAACACTAAAGGTAAATTGGAGATCCTGTACCAGAGAGAGAGTCAGCTGTGCCCATCAGTGAGTCCAGATGATATGTCTGTCCTCCATGAACGCATCATACTTCTCACCAAACAACTCGATGAGGTTCACCATCAGGTCTGTCAGCGTAAGCAACGAATCACAGACAAGCTTAATGAATGGATAGCTTTCACTGAGAGATATAAGGAGTTCTCTGATTGGCTGACTGAGATGGAAATGAAGGTATCGCAGAATGGAGAGAACAGCATTGAAGATCTGCTGCAGAGACTTCAAGGGGTGAGTTCTGTTCTCTCTCATTTTAAGCACTTGCTATAAGGCTGCAACGAGTACTTGGATACTCGAGTACTCGCACTGTTGACAGCTATACTATACACGGCTGCCATTTTTTTTTTGAGTGCTGATTTATGCCCCTCCGCCGGCTGACGCTGACCCATGCCCGGAAGAGCACCGGCATGGTACCGTGAGTAAAATGTTTCATAGCTCAATAATACATGGGGTGTCACTGTCAACTCACCACTCAGAAACTAGGATCAAACTAGTTGCCAAAGTCCAGATTTCTGTTTGGACTCGGAGGAAAATTTGTCTATTATCTTTAGTTTTAAAAACAACATTGTTACTATAATTTGTGACAAGTTCACATGCACAAATTGGCGCATTCAACTGCAACTCGCATTAAAATCATGTGAGTTTTTGAATATGCACCTGGGGTGTTTCGTACAACGTCGACAAAAAACAAACAAAAGAAAAATCATCTGAGCAGTGCCATCTCTTGGCGATCGTAGCAAAGAGTCACTCAAAACAAAGGATAGATATTTATGGTATTCATTTTACAACAATTTTTTATTTCCCTGCCTGGTCTAAAAAATAGGGGTCTGTAACCCCCAAAAAGGGGTGTGTAAAATAATTATTGTAAAAAAAAATGGCCGCTGAGTAAGCTTGGGCGAGTACTTGAGTACCTTATTACACGCTCATGCACATGAGCCTTTATTTGCTGAAATCAGTGTATCAGTGGAGGAAGCATCCAAATTACCAGTCTGCAAGAATTTATAGCGAAGATTGTAACTATAAACTTTTGATACCATGCCAAGAGCAAATAAAGTAAAACCACAGCCAAAAACAGAAATGTTCTGATATCGTGCACTAACTCTAGGATTATTGTTATAAATGTGGTAATCAATGAGCGATGATCCCAAAACAGATCCATGTACTTGTGTATGGTATGCTTACCGTAAATCTCTGTGTATAAGACCACCTGTGTAATAAGACGTTCCCCTATTTGGGGGCCGAGAAAGAAAAAAACCCACGCGGGAAGGACCTTTATTTTTGACTGCGTGGTGCAGTTGACGGCGCCGATTTGTGCATGTGAATTTGTCACAAATAATAGTAGGTATAGCACACCAAAAATAAGTGCAACAAACACATGTTATTTGATGATTGCAAATGATCAAGCTTTATGAAAGCTTCAAAAAATAAAAAACAGAATTGAAATCGGTCAATGCATTGTGATTTTATACCATTTTTTTATATCACAAAATTACCAAAAAACCTGCCAGAAATGGTCAAATTGGCAAAAATGGCAAAAGTTGATAACTTAATTCATCACTTTCTTGGACACAAATAATGAATTAAATTATCAGAAACTAAAATATCATCTTTGTGGTAAAAAATACAAAAAAGAAAATTGTGAATATTCATCAAATATGCAAATTAGGTCATTTCAGCTAATTATATATATAGGAAAGTCAAACTGTTCATTTTGTTGGCATTTTGTAAATCATATAATTATAGATCATATTTACACCAAATATTAACATTAAATTCCAAATATTTTTGCGATGCCAATAAAATATGGTGATGGAAATTACTTGGATCACCGTTACAGCTATTTCCTCATATGTTTCACAAATTATTCAGAAAAACCGATCAAATGATAAGAATCTGCAGACTTTCAGCTACATCACAGTATAGTTTTCTTTAAAAATAAATGTCAGATTTGAGGATTTATGACGATTTTCCGAGAAACCATTCAACAGGCCATAACATTCCACAGGGACTAAATTTCAGAGAAAAACAAAGTTTGGTGACCCCAGAACAGTTGTGGCTACCTTGAGTGTTAACAGCAAAGTGATTTAATGAGTGAAACACATGAGGATATATTGCAGTTTTGTAGGGGAGTTTTATACATTGAGGTGCATTTTCACCACGCAGAATAACAGTTAATGGGCGATCTGCGGACCATGTCACACATGGCTGAAAAGACAATATTCTAATTAATAATTTAACATATTTCCCACATGCCGATAACAATGAAATGAAAGCGAAAGCTTTGAGGTTTCATCAAATTATAAGAGAATGAAGACGATTCGTTGAACCATTCTCGACTCTTAATCCTTATCCTTATCTTAATTCAGTTTCTGTTGACGTTTCATTAGAGAAAGAAGACGATTCGCTGTGCCGTCACGGTCCTCGACTCTTAATCTTTGTTTGAATCACGTTCCCCTGCCTCCGCGCATAGCGCGGAAGCTCTGAAGTTTTATTAGATTATTAAAGAAAGAAGAAGATTCGTTGTACCATTCTCAATCGACTCTTAATTCTTGTCTGAATTCAGTTCCCCCCCCCCCCCTCCCCTCCCGCGGAAGCTTTGACGTTTCATAAATTATTAGAGAAAGAAGACGATTTGTTGTACCGTTCTCGACTCTTAATAGTTTTTCTTCCTACGTCCTCTTCCTTTCTTCTTTTTTTCTCTCTTTTTTTTTTTTTGGGGGGGGGGGGCCGGCGTTTTGGGGGGGGGCGACTGCCCCCACCGCCCCCCCCCCCCCCCGGCTACGCGCCTGCTGCTGTTGTGTGTGTGTGTGTGTGCATGGGGCAGACTGTGTGCACATGCAGTGTGATCACCCTAATAATAGTAACAATGTCGTTTTTAAAACTAAAGATGACAGTCCAAACAGAAATCCGGACGTACAGGTAGTGTTGTTCTAGTTTCCGAGTGGTAAGTCAACTGAGCTGGGAGACATTGCCAGGCACAGTGCCAGGTGGAGGGGCATACAATTTTTTTTTAAACAAAATAAAAAACCTGTGTATAAGCGCACCACTGACTTTCCATTTTTGGGGCGAAAGAAAGGTGCGTCTTTTACACAGAGATTTACAGTACCGGTATTTATAAGATGCTGTATAAGTCGCATTTTATAAGTGTTTGTCACCCCGAAATCAGCTTTGAGACTAGCAAATAACCCAGCTGTATGAAGGTTCATTTTGGCGACTCTGTGGATGACCTCAGTATGTATTACATGATTTAAAGTAGGCAAAGTGTTGTAGGATATAATATGTAGTATATTATTGACAGGGTTTTTAAGCTAATTCTTTCCAACTGACTCATGTTACAGATCGATTTATGATAATTACCGGTGAATGTAAAAACTTAGACAACAGAGGGAGTATTCAGACAATAGATGCATGGATATTCTGAGAGCCTTGCCCTTGGTACTACAACATTGCATTGTCTGTTTATTAGCTTCATGTCATTCATCCATCTTTTCTTTATCATATGTATAAACGTTTTATAAAAAAGCAGATATGTTTTGCCTCTGCATATCAAATCACTCGGTAAAGTTCGGGGAATATTTCAATAATTATGACATTCAGTTTTTTCGCTTACATCAAATTGGCATTCAACATCATCTATATGATGTGATTATGTTGTTAAATAATGAGTTCATTATAATGAGTTCATCCTTGTCATCAAACTAGTGTATAAAATAAACATTCCCATCTCCTTCCATTTTCTACTGAGAAGAAAAGACATTAAAATGGACTTTTATAGGACTCCGTTAAATTACCAACAAACATATTGTTACTTCTTAGGGGTGATATAATCAGCCAATCTTAATCCATTATGTAAATAAAGAGAGAAAGAGAGAGAGAGAGAGAGAGAAATAAGAACTTAGTTATGTAATCATAATAATGATCATTATTCATGTTGCTATAGTGTTACCAGCATGAGGTATATTTTTATTCACAGTTTGAACTGTGGGATTAGGTCTCATAACCACTGCATATCCAGATTTCATCATGTTTTGTTAAAGCATATTCAGCTTATATCTAGATGGAATTTGCACTGTTATATCATAGTCTGAGGTTAATTTGAAGGATGTAAGTTTAATGATACTCCTGTCATTTAAATTTGAAATAAAAAATGCATACATTTTTTGAGCGATGTGTATGTACATTGACTTTATTTTTTCTCAGAAATCACGTTTTCAGTTATATAACATAAATAAGAATATGTGTCGTCTATAATGTACACCTGCCTCTCTACATCAATAAGAGCCGAGCCAAGTCAGTTACCATTTACCTGAAGAATAAGTATTTGACATCTTGGACATTCCTTTTTTCAACAAACCGTATTTGAATATTCAATTTACATAATCCCTACCTGGGTATTAAGTAAATCAATGAGATGTTCAACTAATCTTACAATAATTGAAATGTGGGGTGAAGGTTTTGATTCAAAGTCACAGATGTAAAAAAATAACAGTTTGTAACATGGAAATTACAACATGTTCCATCACACCATCTTGACTCCTATGAACACACCACTGAGTCTACCAGGGAAAGTTACAATGCTACAATAAAAAAAATGCAATTCCTGTTCACTCATGCATAAAAGTTTGGTTTAATAAACCTTGAAATTCACTCAGCAAATCATGAATGTATCACCTCAATGTTGTAAGCTCCAAAGGATTTACCCCTCACAAATTGAAAGGCTATACTGCGCAACCTAATTTACATACCTTTTACAAAAATGAGCAGTACTCACCCAAGCAGGAATTATTTTCGGACTTTTTGGTGTTATATGAACGTTGAGTTTATGAACTTTCTTTACATATTAAACTTACCCCCCAGAATCATATATTTTTGTATTCGGCAGCCATTTCAAAAGTGTATAGTTTTTTTTTGGATGCACTGTAGTAGTCTTAACATACAGTGGTAGGAAATTGATCACATCTTAAGAACATGTCAAACATTGTTAGGTATCAATCATCTTTTTAAGAGGTTATATTGTATTGTCATCGATATGTACAGTACACGCCGAAAATCTCCGCAACACGATTACACAATTTATTTTTAGGATTACACGGTTTACATGAATCGTGTAACCGTGTAATCATGTAAATTTACACGATTGAAGAATGTCGCTCTGAATCGTGTAAAAAGTTAAGTGCATTGGAGGGATGATTCGACCAGATGCAACAATCGTGTAACTGTGTAATCGTGTA